TATAGCACCGAGCGAGCCGGCCCATTCGTGCGAAGATGTTAAAGCGGGCTCTACCACAATAAAATTTATTTGCCTTAACTAAGCCAGAAGAGTTTTTAATATATTTCATGAATACTGTACAGTACCGCTAAGGAACAAGTTAAAATGGAGCTGAAATAACCTAAATGTGTCTCGTAGAATTTAATATGCGCGGTCTAGCGAGCGCAGGTGCGGTTTATTATAATTTAAAATAACTTACCAAGAAATATGCTGAAGGATTAATTTAACTTTTAAATAAAATATCAAATAAAGAAGACAATGTAGTTACATTGTTAACAATGTAGTTACATAAAAATAAAGATCAATTCCAGGGTTATTTGAGATTTATTTAAGACAATGTAACTACATTGTCTTCTTGGTTAAAATAACCCTGAAATTGATCTTTATTTTTTACTAGCTTATGCCCGTGACCCCGTCTGTGTGAAATTAAAAAAAAATTAAGTTGCCTATATGTTCTTCCAGATTATACTCTACATCTATGCCAAATTTCATCGATATCAGTTCAGCCGTTTAGGCTACAAACTCTTACAAACATCCATCCATCTAAACTTTCGCATTTATAACATTAGTAACATTGTCTATTTGGTATTTTCAGGATGTTTTAATCGAAAAGATAAGAAAATGTAGAGAAAGCCATTTAAACTCATGCTTCTATAGAAATAAATCTCTTTGCAAATTTAAAATTACGAAATTTACAAGCCAAAAGCTTTAAAGATTTTATACATTCTTTTGAGTGGCTTTGTACCGAGAGATATCCCTATGGCCATGAATTTATTTCAAACTCATGCATACAAACTCGGGACGTACTCTTTTTACTTTGAATACCTTCAATGTTTTTATTCAACATACAGATCATGTATGCTTCTCAGTAAAGGGTAAAAGATATATAAAAATATTTTAACTAGGTGTCTAAATTAGCGACTTTGTCATGCTAAATACCCTTTAAGATTGAACGACTTTTACATTTTTTTATAGACATTACGAAACTGGAGACTGCGGTGTTGCATTAAAGGGTTTTGTAATAGTAAAAGCTAAACTTTAGTAGTTTAAACGTAGTATCATTATTTAACAACGAAATTCAAACATAGCAGAGGTTTTTTTGTATATTATAAGTTGGCAAACGAGCAAGCGGCCGACTGTATTCACCGAAATGGAAAGCGACCGCTGCCCATAAACATCTCCAATTGCAGATGCGTTCCTTACCCTTAATTGACGGACGGAGAACCACAAAAAGACACTTCCCCTTCCTATCCGTCTCCTCCACCGTCAAATCCACTTTTCCTTCGCATCCTCTTCTCAAGAAAAGGGTGAAAAGGGAAAGGGACTTAAGTTAGGCCTCCGGCACCACACTCATCAGACAAAACGCGGAATTGCTTGCACTTCACGCCGGTTTTCTGTGTGGTCGTGGTATTACACCGGGCGAGCCGGCCCATTCGTGCGAACATGTTAAAGCGGGCTCTACCACTGTTATAAGGTATGTAACAATATTTAATATCTTTTCTGTTTAACAATAAACAATATGTTGTGAGATCCCATTTACTACAATGTTGTTCTGTATTTTCGCTTACATTTAACAGTTTAATAATAATTACTGTTAAAAATGTTGCAAGATCTAATAATTGGTAACAAAATGTTGAACGGGGACAGTCTAACTGGGGCAATCGATTGAGGGTGGGAATTAGAACTACAAGTTTCTCGCTACCTGCGCCGTTACAGCGGATAATAGCTGTCATTGATTTATGTACAACTTTATTAATATTAGCTCAGCGTGTGTTTAATTAAATTGTTTTGATCGCGTTGTTTGTCGCGTCATTAAAAATTAACAATTAAATAACTAACATTTGTAGAAAAATGAAGAATCAGTATCAATATTATGAGTAAATAATCAAACGTTGGGTGCTATTTGCAATTATAAACGATTTTTATGGTATCGGCAAATATACAACCTAGTGTGAAAAGGAAAATCGATATCGTGCCGATGTAGCGTCGCAACACTAGATCATTGACGTACACGTCCCAACCCTATGACAGCTGTCAATGTCAATTACAAGTAATAAGAAAAAGCGCGCCATTCTTGGCGGTGATTGGTAGGCTTAGAGCAGGCGTACACCTTTGACTAAACTATGGCACAACTGTTACGCGATTGTCGATTGTTTCGTAGCCAATTCAACTGTTTAGTTGCACAACTAAAAATCTAGTAGTGTGCGTACCTCCATATAAGCTCATGGGAATCAAAGCAAGACTAAACTGTTGTGAAAACTAAATTTAGTATTGTAATGTTATAACGTTGTTACAATTCTATTATTGTTCAAAACTAGTAAAGTGATTAGCGCCAGGTTCTCCATAACTGTATTGTACTCAAGATTTGTATTCCTAATCAATTCCAACTACATAGTCATCGTACTAAATGCGATGTCCACGTTGTGAGTTTTCACTTATGAATTAATTATAATTAAGCCATTTACCAAAAAGGGTATGCGGCAAAAGATAATCCCAAAGCTTTAATTATTCAAAAGCACTTTCAACTCGTGGCAATTTATCTGAGGACCCTGTTGTGCTGATTTTTATTTCAATATACGTAAAAAAATACTAATCGATATGTATTGCGTAACGTATTTTATAACATTTTCATGAAAAACAGACCGAATTTATGTCATGACAATGCCAATAAAAGTAGAGTAAGAACGAAGACAATATGGACTGTCAAGGAAGACATCTGTAAGAAGGAAATGCAAATATGTTCGGCTGATACGAGGATGGAATAGTATTCTATACCGTACCTTACCTTGAGTAGGGAAAAAGGCAAGACGACAACCACGAGTACAATTAAAGAAAAAGGGATCCCAGGATTATGTTTTAAAAAATTTGTGATATTTGCTAAGTCGTTTAAATTTTTAGGTGATACTATACAGATTTTTGATTAAATTCAAAGTTCATAGAATGAGCAGGAGTTTACCAAAACAGACCGTTTGACTAGACATACAGTGCATAAAGGATGGGGTAAAATTGAATTTTACAATGAAATACGCGTTTTGAAATGAAAATCCACATCGTTTGAACCGCTTCACCCTTTTCTTTATTATTCAATGGAATGTGACAGCAGAATAGTTAACGTACAAATGTTTTCAGTAATGGATTGTTAGACCATAATTAGATCTTCAAATGTTTTAACTTTTCGAACGCCTTTATTTTATTGCATTAATGATTCTTAGATATTCATTTGTCTTTGAAGGTCTTAAGAATTCAATGTGTTTCAACTTCTATGTTTCTAGACTTAATTTTATATAAAAGTAGTACGTATAAGAGCGGATGCACATCTTTGACTAATCTATCGCACGACCATTGTGCGATTCTAGATTGTTTCGCAGCCAATTCAAGTGTTTAGTTGCACAACTATCGAGTAGTATGCGCACCTCTATATAAGTTTATAGAAATCAAAGCGAGACTAAAACTGAGATTACAACTATTATAAGTCACTATAATCTTTGTAAACTAGTAGAAAATATACCTAGATTTTATAAAGATAATTGACTATAATAGTCAATCAAATAAGGCATCGTTTTATTAAGTTATACATAGACATGTTTAGTTGTTCAACCCTATCACTATGGTCCGCGCGGGTCTGATACCAATTCAGAGATTAATTAAAAGCAAACATGCTCTAAGCAACGCCTCGATTGGCTTGTTCAATTATTATTAAATAGGCAGATTGACTTGTTTTGAATACAAAACAAGTTCTATGGAGTGTTTTGCTAAACTAACTTGTAGTTTTGTGTTGAGGCTTATTTATTTTTGTCCACAATTCAAATTTCTATAAAGTAATATTTGTTAATAGATGAATCCTAATTGCAAATAATTGCTTAAAATATATGGGTTTCTATTGATTTGTAGATAAGAGAAAATGTATAAAACATACTGAAGTCTGGTTCATATTGAATGTAAATACGTTTTCAGATTCGAGTGGTCTTCTAAATAACTCATGGTTGCAGAATTTAATAAATGGGTAACCGTCACCCGAGCGGGGAGCGGGGTACAACGCTACGGCGACGCGCCGGTGCGTTTTATTACGATTTCAAATAAATTTGCGAGAAATACGCACAGAAACGAAATTAGCTTTTTACATTACGCACAGTAAATCTGTTTCAGGATTTGTGAATTTTTTCATTTGGATCAACTTATTTTTATGTTTTTTTTTATACGATTCCTTATAACTATTGTTAAAACATAATTTTTACTATTTTTGTAGATAATTATTATAATAGCGTTTTCATTGTTTTAAAATAAAATGGTGGAATAATTAGAAATGTTTATTTTGGAAGTCGTGTACATTACAATATGGCACTTCGTTCCGTTACTTATTAAAAAACATTATAAAAAGAAACTTAAAATTACTTACATAAATATTTATAAAATAACACAATTACCGAAATACTGGTTACATCGTTTTTAAATTAAATATTCATTCGTGAAGGTTCTACGTCCTACCAAAATAAATATAAAACCTTGTTTGTAAGCGTTATATACGAAATACATAATGTATCGTAAATTTACTTAATAAAATAAGGGAGGCGCAAATATTCAATTAACTTGAAGTACAGTGATTTATTACATTTTTTCGTCTACTCAAAGTAAATTTAATTTACATAACTACATTCACCGAAACAATCTAAATCATGTTATATTAGTATTACATTTTAATTGATTTTTTACTTTTGTGTTAAACGATTAAAGTAATATTACATAGATTTGTACATAATGTGTATGTTTATTTATAATATTGTGCCATAAAATGCAAATGTGACATTGTGATAGCGTCTAAATCTATTAGGTCCACTCAACTATCATCTAAACAAATCTCATTCCATATAGATGGTAAAAAAATCTATATCAAAATTCTACTTTACCTATAACCCTATTAATTCCAAGAGTCCTCTTCAACGATCGGAATTTGTAATGCTTCTAGTTGTAAGATAACCGAAAAGCTTTTCTTTGCGATCGAACGTCGTTACCCCATTTGGTTTGAAGGCTTCACGCATGTGATTCACACAAGAACCAACTAGTCGTGCTAAAAGCGCTAGTTTTACCAACCTACGTCAGCATAGCAAGCAGTACACTAAATGCCCTTATCCGAGTTGGGTTCAATAGCACGACAGGCGTTACAGCAGTACTTCCGAAAGGGAGGTACAACACAGTTCCTTTCGAGCTGGTCTCGAGCGAAGAGTTCACAGTACTGCGTGCCGTCGCTAGCGGGACAGTGCGTGAGTAGTCGCTCTGGGGGCGGGCAGTGGCGCAATCTGCAGCGGCGTCGGTGCTCACGGGGCTTCGGCCCGCACAGCCTCTCGTCTGACGCTGGACACACCAGTGGTCGTTGCGAGATACCTCGTCCACATGTCGCTGAACACTGAAATTTGGAATTAAAATATATAGTTTTAGTTAAATCCTCCATACTTTTCTTTTCTGCATTAGTTTCTATACCAGAATTTGATCAGATGTCAAGTGCTAACTTGTGCAAAGTTTTAGGAATAAGTGCCTTTGTCTAACTTAAGCTATGAAACAAACATTTCATAATTAGATGGCTAGGCGAAGACTAGGCTATTTACCGGAGTCCAGGGCATCTCCTGCCAGTAGGCGGGGCAGGGCAGGCGGTTACAAGGCTGCTGCTTTTCTGGCTTGCTCGGCGGGCACAGCGCCGGCGATACACTACGCCGTACCAGTTCTTTTTTTGTTAATACACTGCAAGAAAAACGTTTGTGGCATAACAGTTGGATGCTTATAGTTGTTCTATTTGCGAAGAGATATAGTAAAAGAGTGGTTTCATTGATTGTCTTCAGGATTGTATATTTATTCTAAGACTGAATTTACTATGATAATTGACCTCGGAAAACTTCTTTAGACTTATTGGAATGAAGATGGTGGGTCCAATGATGAAAGGATAAGTTAACAATATTCAGGTGATTAAAATAAATTAAAATCAACTACCTAATATTAGCAGGTACACAGAATAGTTGTCTCTCTTGTACGCCGTCAGCACCGCAGGTGGCGCTGCACTCCTCCCAGTCACCCGGCGCCCACATGAATTCACAACTAAAAATTGTAAAAGTACTAACGTTAGTATTTTTTATACTCTCTTCTCTTGTTGTTTTTTTTAATTATAATGCATATTTTAAAGTATTTTTAAGTCTATTAGGCTTTTGCCTAATGTTTACGGGAGCTTGTTAACGTCCTAAGCAAAATAATTTTTAAATTGATACTCTGTAGTAAATCAAAATTTATTTCCTGTGCTAACTCTTTGAAGTTTCTAAATATTTTACAGATTCACAGACCTTTCTTTTCAGTTTTAATCCTTTGCAAAAAAACTCGTTGAGAAAAACTTTGAGATCATAAACTTTTGTGAAAAATTATACGAGTAATACAAAGGCGTGGAGGTCTTTTGAATCCCTTCTTAAAACGTCTAAAACTTCTTCGTTTGCGTAAATTGTATTTATGTTCCAAAGTTTATAGTTTAAGACTTGGCACCCGTAATGCGTAGTTCTCAACTAAGCACAGTCGTAAACACTAACAAATGCCCATTATCGCAGCAATTAGTTGAAGTCTGCCAACAAAATAGATTTCGCAGCGAATGGCGTCCATTATTGGACCATTAATTACGATGTTAACGTAAGTTACTGACGGACTGTTTCAGACATAACAGCTTGTCTTGTTTCGTTAATACCTTGTTACCAGATTTTATTACGCTTAGATTTACTTATATTTCTTTTTTTGGTTTCTTCAAATTTTAATATCTTACTAATATTATAAATGCGTAAGTTTAGATGGATGGATAGATGATGGATGAAGAACCCTAGTGCTCGACCACTATCCTAGATAAACAATGTTATAACAAACTTATTAATACATCTTTCAATATGTCCTTTATAATGTAGAATTACCTGTGTGAGTTACAACGCTCGTAGCGCGTGGGCGGACAATTCTGTTCGCGTGGACACCGCTGTCGCACCAAGCGCATGCCGCCACCGCAAGACACTGAACACGGCCCGCGGTCACCCGGCCATCTGTAGAACAGAATATACCTTTAATACCTGTTAAATAGCTGCAGTTGAAATACGACACGCTGGAAAATAATAGCCTAATGGTTAAGAATACGAATTTCCGATCACATGGTAGACTTTAAATTCCGTCAAACTATAAAGTAAACTACATCCTAGTACAAGCTAAGAGCTTCGTGTTGTTAGTTAAAAACAACCTAATAAAAAGGAAGCCACAGTAGTCAGACTGGCTGGCAACAGGAAATTAGATCTAAAGGATAAACTTCTAAAAAAAGGGAAAGTTACATATTCTAGCTTTCGAATTGGAATGGTCAGATACCAAATTACGTTTAGAGTTTACGTAATGCTTATGTTTTTATATAAATCTTTTCACTTTCAAAATAACAGAATTAGTAAACCTAGTTGTACCATCGAGTTCATTTAATATCGTCTATGAAATGTAAAATGTATTTCCGAGTATAGCTTAACATTAGCCACATGGTCTCAGTTTAATGCGGGCTCTGGTATGGCAGGAAGCCAATTTGCTTTAGATATATGTTTTACGACATGCGGGTTGAACCGCATTACTAGACCTTTTTAAAATGAACATAGTAAAAAGTTTATTGTACTACGGTACTTTAAATATGAATAATGAAGATGTTTAAAATGAAAATAGTAATAATCAAAGACTACTAAAGATTTCTTGATAAATTTTTGAGTATCACAGAGGATATAAAAGCAAACGGTAAAGATTTTGTATTAAAGATTTTAAGTGTTATGTTTATAGGAGTGATCTGAAATGTAAGGGAACTTAACGACGAGCCGTTACGCCATTTCGACAGTGCGGAATTAAAAAAAAGTAGCCTATAATGATCTATGTCATCTATCCTTTATTGAAAGTTCAGTCGAAATCGGCTTTGCCGTTTTGGAGATTACCCGTAACAAACATGGCTTGCGGACAAACAGGCAGACATTTTTTTTTTCAAATACGATTTTCGTTATCATTATACATCATCTTCCCGAAATTTAGAATTTTTCCTTTGAAATTACAAAAAAAACACTCCAATTTTATTATATGTATAGATTCACCTATAACTACGGCAGTGTAACCCAGAGAGCTCACTGAAATTTCATTCTGAATAGAATATAATACTTTGTGAATACCTGTATTCCATAGGTCGCGCTTTCGGTGCGGGTGTGCTGTAGTTGACTGACACTACTACGGAGATTTTCTCTTCCAACGGCCGTTCTGGAGCAGCCTGAAAATGACAACATTAAATTATAGGTACAACAGCTTTCGCTCGCTATTCCGTCCGCTTGGAATTAAAGAAAAACTAAGTAGCTTATATTCTTCCAGTCTATCCTCTGCTTCCATGCCAACTATCATCGATTTCCGTTCAGCAGTTTAGGCTACATACTCTAACAAACATTCATCCATCTAAACTTTCCCATTTATAATATTAGTATATCATACCTGTGGAAGGTATTAGGGAAGGCCTATCTCTAACAGTGGGCAGATGAAGAATAATGATGAAGATAATATTATATTAGAACTACACATTTTTGAAATAACAGCTATTGTTATGTCCACACTGGTTCAACCAATAATAAACGAGCCTGTCAACTCAATAAAGTGTTTAATTTTAACTCATCTATACTAGTATTATAAAGAGGAAAGATTTGTATTTTTGTATGTATTGAAACAACTCAAAAAATACTGGGCCGATTTTTAAAATTCTTGCAAAAAAGGCTATGTTATCAGTAATAAGTTACTATATTTTTACATTTTTTTTAAATGCTCGCGGACGAAGTTGCGAGCAACAACTAGGCTTTAATAAACTTCTCACTAGATCATCCAACAAGGCTATTGTTGATAGGCTTTAACTTAACTACGATAAAATTTAGTAGTATAACTTTTACGATAACTAACAGTGTAACAAAACGGTTTAAACTTTACATTAAAGGCGTTACGGTGATTTTCGTCGCAAAGTTTGTGATCCGAGTTCGGAACATCGTTGAATAATTAAAACTGTCTACGCTCTAACCCTCGTCATGAAACGATTCGCTTCGTTAAGCATTTAGTAGTTGGACCCTTTGTTGGACTAAGACGATTATTTTTCGGAGGATTTAAACTTCAAAAGTCATGAAAATACCTAAAAAAAAAAGTTTTATGATACAATACTAAGGGTCTGTCCCACCACTGACTGATAGAGGCTTAGATAGCTTTAAAACGACGTCACTGTTAGATAAAGGAACAAAATCCGATATTTCCATCACATATATCCATTTACACTTTGGATTGTTATCAGATAATTTACAATTTGGTGTGACAGGTCCAAAAAGGTATAACATAAATTACGTGCTTAATAAATGCTATCAATGTATTAGTTAATTTGTCTATAAATTTAATTTCTCCTGAAGAATTTAAGGCCACAATTTTATTGCTTTAAAAACAGAAATTAAATCCCGATTCACAAACGTTTTGAATTACGACCCTTTACAAATAACTTTGAACGAAACCATTTTATTTCTGGTCAAATTTGCCTTCAATGATTTTGTAATTTAAAGAAGAGTTGAAAACATACAATTTTACTTCTGAATCTTTTTCTACGAAGAGCATATAAAACTTTTAAACGTGTGATTAGATAAATAAATTATTCACAACCGAACATTAAATTACTACTAGTCGGTGTTAGAACGATTTCTAATAAACCAGGTGAGAAACATAGATTTATTAACTACCTTCGTTCCAAATGCCAATTCCACTTACCATAATCATTAAATCCGTCTGTAGCCGGGAGTCCGATGTTATAAAGATGTCATTATCGGTCTGCTTCCACCGCACCTGGCTACCTGCAGCAACTACCTCCCCCTCCCATCCAAACCTATCCCCCTCCTTGATATTTATCACGTTGCTATCTACCTCTATTATCTGCAGGTTCTGTGGCACATTAGGATCATACTTCAAATATTTATCTTCTTTATTTTCTAGTTCAAATCGTTTGGCATGATGTTTCGCCAGCTCCAAGATAGGTCTGTTCTTTTTACGTTCTCGGATCGCGATGTTCAATGCAACCGGTGTGGACAGATGGACTGATAGCAAGCGGGCCTCGTGTGGTACCACCGTTAAACGTGACCAACCTAAAACAAAAGGTTTTATTACATATTTAATAACTAGCTAATGCCCGCGACACCGTCTGCTTGGAACACAAAAAACAAAAGTAAGTAGCCTATGTGTTCTATCAGACTTTGTTCAACATCTATGCCTTTCATCGATATTCATTGAGCCGTTTAGACTTCTAACTCCATTAACATCGGGTTTCGACTATTATCTATTACTAGCTTTCGCCCGCGACTCCGTCCACGTGGAATAAAAAAAACTAAAATAAGTAGCCTATATGTTCTTCCACACTATCATCTACATATATACCAAATTTCATCGACATCCGTTTAGCAGTTTAGGCTACAAACTCTAACAAATATCCATCTACACTTTCGCATTTATAATATTAGTATGATTAGTATGAAGTATGATTATTTGATTCATCAGTTCTATAAAATGTATTTTTAACTTTATATTCCACTCATGTCTGTATGCAATGTCAAGGAGGCGAAAGATACACAACGCACTCAAGCGATAATAAAATAAACATTTGTGAGATACGCAAATATTTAGTCTCGAATAGATTCGTCTTAACCACATCTATCATTCTATGTGAGATCATCAAACAAAGAAGAGACGTTTAGTACTTTTTATGTGCCATTTAAATTTAAAACCATTTTACTACAAAAATCAATGTTTGTGTCATCTGTCCAATTCGGTTTCTAAACCAATAATGAGGTTGTGATGAAACTATAATAGAGTGGAGTTTTAAATTTTGATGTAAACGAGCTGTCACACGCAAACTTCGTTGGCGCAAATTTGGACCACCCGTTACGCCATTTTGACAGCGCGAAATAAAAAAAATAGCCTGTCAGCTACCCTCCAGTGAAAGTCCCGTCGAAATCGGCCCAGCCGTTTCGGAGATTACCCGTAACAAACGCGGCTTCCTAACCGACAGACAGACAGACAACATTTTTTCAAATGCGATTTACGTTATCAGGAACGCAAATACATTATCTTTCCGAAATCTGGAATTTTTCATTTGATATTACAAACACACACTAGTTTTATAGTATACATAGACAGATATATGAAAGTAGCATTTTTGGGTTTAATTTTTATGTAAATGATTGTTGATTTGAATTTATTTCTTATATTTTAATTTTAGAATCGAATTATTAAAAAAATGTTCAACGTTTTTACCTTTTCCAAGTGTTCGAGTATAAACATATGTATTGTTATTACAGTAACCATCTGGGCACCAGTTGCAGGCCGGATCCGTCGCGTTACATTGTCCTTTAACACATGTACCCTGTGAAAATGTTAAATTATTTATATCAATGAATAACTTCCTGTGTTGTGGAATTGATGGGAAAATCTATATTAAGAAATACTGAAGATTGACGCATGAGTTGGATTGTTTTGTCTTTTTATTTATTCTTTTTTAGGAGTTGTGTTGTATTTGCGTGGTACTTCAGAATGTAATAATAATAAACGCGATGCTAGCGTTTTTACTGACGCCATTAAACGCAAAATTGATCAAGGGAGAAAAATTTAGGTTATGAAATTTACAATAAAGATTGTTTATTCTTCGTTGAAATACTATGTATTTTAGTTCAAGATTTTTTGTTTTTAATTTTTGATTTGGCGACCACACTTAATTCCGTGTGACTGAAATTCCTGGATCTTGAATACCTATTGAATATAATCAAGAGCTGTCAAAAAGTGACGAAGGTGGAAACCAAAGTTATTAAAACCACATTAAAAATATTCAAGTGTATTGCTAAAATTACTATAAACTGTATTTATACGTACACTATATTTTTTTAATTAGATACTATACAGTTCGTACATGTATTATAAAGAAATATTTGTACAATTACTACGATTAGTCTGAGTTCCACGACGGCGGTGGAAACAATATATTTCATGTCTGTAAGTTGATTCTATCAAATGCTGCTGTTTACAATTCCTAGAACCTTTGCGGTAGGTGCAAACTTCATCAATTTAACATTGTTAGAAATAGAAACATTAGAACTAATCTTTAAGTAGATTAAGTTCTTTTGGTTTCCACTTTCGTATTTGAATATCTTCTAATCATCGTTTATAGCTGTTTTAAATTACATATTAAATAAAAATAAACCTTAAATTACATTACCTGTGAGCAAAGGTCAAACGGTCTCTGGTAGCTGCAAGGCGCACCGTCAGGCAGATGTCCAAATTTAGAAGGCTCCCCTCCGGCGTAGTCTACACACCATGCTTCGCAGTTTTTTGACTCTGGTAAGTAAAATTCTAATTATTTCCGTAGACAATAATTCAAATAGACCTATAACTCTTCTTGAAAAAAATCTTGGGTATTAGTTTGTCTTAAAATCACAATGTAAACTCCATTTTTCATTCGATTACTGTCCAGTAAACATAAAATACACTTGAACGCATTTAAAATTACTTCGTCAATCAGCGCTGACCTTTAAATTGAAACCTTTAATGTACATCACATGTTGGAACAAGCTCATTAATTTTTTCTTCGAACCTTCATCAGTTCGGTTATTCATTACAGTATCATGTTCGCTGTCAGTCATCGTTTGTACAGTCGAGAACATGTAGGTACAGTGGTGTGCAAAAATAATGTACAGCCAAGTGCATTAATGCGTTACCATCTGGTTGCACGTGGGGTATGAGGTGGCTGGCCTGCCGCACGCACATGTCAGCGCGAATGTCCCGCGTGGCCGCGCACGCGGACCCCTTCCAGCACACCGACACTTGGGAGCCGGCGCCCTCGCAAGCACTCTCAGAGACCGACCTGAAATTTAAATGAATTTAGACCTGTTTTCTACTGAGGGAATAACTGCGTGATTAGAACACGGTGCAAATAGTACATGCAGTAGCGCGAGATTGCCTTAAATAAAATAAATCCTATTTAAAAATCAACATTAAATGTTGCGTAAAATATCAAGATCTTTCCTCTAGTGTACAGTGGCTTGCAAAAGTAATTTAGAGGTAATCGTTTGCGAAGACAAGCCAATCCAGTCGTATCCAGTCATGTCGCTTATTTGTTGTACGGCCGTGTTTACAGATTGAAGCCGATTTGATGGATGGAGCGTGTAAGAGATTTACTGAGCTTTACTTGCTTCCGTTGCAAATCTATATCATTTCATTTTACATTAGACTTCTTACAAATATTTAAATTAAACCCAGTGCACACTAATGCTTAAGCTATTAGGAGATTCTATGTTAATAGTTTTTATGTCAGAAAAATACAAAGGCGCATAACACAAGAATTGCTAATAATTTAAAGAACATTAATTGAATTTTGCCTTACAATACCATCAAATGTAATCTTTTATTACAAACTATTAACATTTTGTTACATTATTTAATATCTTACCAAAGATACAGTACGTGGTGTCCATTAATTTTAGAAGACATCGCGAACAAATATCAACTGTCGTTTACTGTCTCTGCTTACCCTTTGTACCGACAGCGTCGTGTGCGTGTCCTGATGCCGTACCCGCAGTCGGCGTCGCATTCGCTCCACGCTCCCCACTCGCTCCACTCCGCGGTGCCTGGACCCTCCCCTTCGTGAGTTTTGCCTTCACCACCGTGACCCGGCATCAACTCGCACACATGGTCAACGCACCACTGTAATAAAGTTAACTACGTTAATCTTGTTCTAATTTTAAATACATGTGTATACTCAACCAACCCGAACTGGGCCGGTGTGTTTGACTATGGTCTAGTCATCTCCTAACTTCGGGAAGGATCTAATACTCTCAATCGGGTCGTATAGATATTTCTATATAGATATACATTTCTACCTCAAACTTTTCCCTTGACATTTATTCAGCACAGACAATCAGTCATAAAACGTAATCCATCAATGGGTTTAATAAGAATTTTTTTCTTCGGGTGGTCATAAAATGAGGTCTGTTGCTTTGCGAGCCGTATGATGCGATATTGCATTTCGCCGTGAATTGGTAACCCTATACCTTTACAGTGCAGCGCCCTCTAGCACGGGATGTTGGTCAATGGACGGTTTATGTGCACGTAATACAAAAGGGCTTGTTGGAATCACATATTCCAGACCTGATTTCCTGTCCTTTAAGAAATAACGATGAATATCTTAAACAATGGCAATACAAATTGTAATATTCTTTACAAAACAAGGAATATTTTTAGCCACCGCAGCAAATAACATGTTAAAAGTTATGTCCTGTATTGACAAGCCAACTTGAATTATTTATTTAATCGATTTATTTATTTAATCAGCTATTATAAAGACCTGAATAAAAAAAATAACACTTAAATAGAAATACTATTTAAATTAGAAACCATAAACTATTATTTTTCTGTGCATAAAATATTTCACACGTGTAAAGACGAATTATAATTCTCACTTCAAACTCGAAATGCATTCCAAAAGGGTTTCAATGAATTTATGCGGACGCACGAACGCGCGGCGTGTACGAATTATACGTTGATGGAATCCATAGTTGCAGTCATATGCACTCATATCTGCATTACATTGGAATACGTTTTTGCATTGAGCGAAGCACTGGCCACTTTACACGCGCTTCGTAGGGTCGTGATGCAAGCGTTCATCGTGAAGCATTAATTAAGTCTGCAATGTTTGCTACAATCTTTTTTTGTAATTTGTACTTTGAATATGTATTACTGTACGAGTATTTTATTAATTTTCTCATTTTATAATCAGTATTGATTAGTAGTTAAAAGTCATTGTATTAGGCCATAAATGTTTATTTTAAAGAAGAAAAATGTTTAAACATTAACGTAATTATGATCTGTCTGTTATAATTTTCATTTGAAGCTCTATGCACCTCAATATTATTTCTTATAAAACTTCTCAGCCAAATTTGGTTTTAAATAATTATAAAGTAAATATTTTATTTATCAAAAACAGCTTACATTAGAAAATACAACACATTTGCGGTTTATAACATTTATTATCAACGAATGCAATTTTACGACGTGATTCCATTGCACCAGATTCCTGATGACTACAGAGAGCTTTTAGACATCTGTTTTCAACACTTAAGCGTCTGTAAAAGACCTCTTACGAGCTATAATAAATGTCTTTTAAATTGCAGATATTTTATTAACTGGCATTGAGTAACACGTGTCGACTGTTGCCGAATACTAAAACGAGCTTTAAAAATTGAACAGCGTTTTAAATAATAAGACTCAGGACAAACTCGAAACTCCATTAAAATGTTGACGGCGTTTTAGAACGGTGTTTAAGATTCGTTTCAGTATACTGCCGAATTAATTGAGTTAATTGTACGTAAATAAAGAATTATGTTATACTAGCTGTTCCCATGCGACTTCATCCGCATAAAATTATAAAAAAATCTTTTTTGTTTACATTTGTCAAATTATTCATTCATTAGTCAAAATGACATGACATGATGTCAAATCATGGCAACCTTGCTTCCTTGATGTTGGCAATAACTTATGGTCTCTTTCCCACATTACGGTTTTTATCCAAAATATTTACCCCTAAGTTTAATGGCGTGAAAATATATAGCCTAAAGCGTGAAGCAATTGTAGGGCTTTTTATTAAAAAAAGAATTATTCAAAAATATGCTGTAATTGCTAAGATCTTAGGAAACAAAGAAGTGTGAGTTTACGCTTTATTATAATAGTATAGATAGATGTATAGATTATCCGTAAACGTTTGTATTGATATCTATTTTTTTATAGAGGGAATAAAATGTATCACAACATGTACGTGTTTCAGCAGTAAATACTTATATCAAAGTGCACTCAGCCTCTGATCCAAGGTTTATCAAGTGTTAAAACAAATGTTTGTATCAAACAAACCGAGGCGAAATATCTCCAAGTTATTTGCCAACCGATAGCCATATCAGACCTAAGTATAGGAACGATAACCATTTATGTACAAAAACCAGTCTCAACTGTACAACTTATAAAGTTCTAAGTATATCGTTTATAATCAGTGAGTCTTGGTTTTTTATTACAATCTATAGAGATACACAGGCCTGGGATAATGTTGGGCCATGTCTTTAAGGTACAAATAAAGCAGTTTACTGTACTGGTTGGTATACAGGTCTAATGTTCGAAGAAAAATATACTCCCATTTACAGTCACAAAGAAGTTTTTATTTAAAGTTATAATATTGCAGCAGAAACAAATAGAGTATTTTTTATATTACATTTTGTTGTTATAAGAATAAGGTTAGCATAATATCTGTGAGAAAAGAATGAATTAAATATTTTTTTAAATGATGTTTTTCTTGTCTAGCCAAATGATGTTTTTGAAAAGATAAGTCTATGAAATGGAATGTTAGAATAAAATAATGCAATACGCGAGCGATATATATAAATGCCAAAGTACTCTTATTTTCATATTGAATCTAAGCGCAAAAATGTCTGCATTTCATACGTCACAACTAAGTGGTTGGATTTATGAACGGCACGTACGAACGCGTACAAACCTCGTTGAAAACAGAACAGCTTTCAGAAGCATTAACTTTGCATTTGTACCACTATATGCCATTTGATTCGGTGTTATACGGAATTTAGCAAAAGAAAACCTTTTCCTATAACTTTAAATCATTTAACGTTTATGTAAGAAAGAAAATTATTTCTTTTATATGTGGTAAAAATAAAAATCATTAAAACCCGCTTTTGCTTATCACAAAAAAAAAATTGAAAAGGGTTTACTAAGCATTAAGCGCCTTGAAACATTCTTCTGCAAGCTTCTTTTCTATGAAATTGTAAATTTTGCACCTATCCATTAAACATATGTTTCTCCAATAGTGTAGAAGTAAAAAGATATAATTTAATGTCCCTTTTTTGAAAATAGTTATAACATGTAGAACGTCAAACTATTTTCTGGTCAATTACTAGTGCACTTACCCTATTAGTGCCACACCGCGTGCCCTCTAGCGGCGGCGCGCGCTTCGAGCGGCAGACGTGCGGCATGGCGCGATGGGCGCACCACAGCTTGGCGCAAACAGATCTCATCTTTATAGATTTGCATACGGAGAACCTGACAACAAACATAACTGTCAAACTTTACGCTGTCAAATGTCACGATAAGTTTCCCCAATTTTATTCCCTTGTTAATGATTAATCCTGATGAAAAAGGTATACTGGACATATTAAAATAAATGACTGCTGTTAAATTTCGTTTTTTATTTACGTGTGTATTTTTATTTAAACAAGGACGGATAATACACAAGGATAATTCTCGCATAGTTCTTTTTGGACTAATGCTGAACAAACATAAGAAGCAATTATGTTCAATTATTTAAACTGAACCATCCCATACCGCAGATAACAATCTAAGGTCCTTTGTTCAAGATAATTAGCCTCAAATTATAGTTTGGAGTTGGGCCCAACCCGAATTCCTGTGACTCATGCGTTACAAACAATTGACTCGACTTCCGTATATAGGTGTTTAATGGTGTTCCTTTTATGTACACATACATGTTGAGCTCAGTCGGCCAAGGCCTCATAGGTCTTTTCAGTGTAATTAAGAGTTAGAAACAAATAAAGACTCATAACAGAGGAAAGAAAGAAAGGAATCAGAATTTAAAGCATAGTTCATCTTTTGGTGATTTTATTTCTACTTTTGTTAACACGAATGGATAAGATACGAAATGACTATATTAGAGGAAATTTGAGAGCAGCCCCAGTGGTAGAGAAGGTAAGGAGTAAAAGGTTAGCATGGTATGGGCATGTTATGGGGAGGGATGAATCGCATGTTACAAGGAGAACGTTAGTTATGAGCGTGGAAGTATATACTGGTAGAGGTAGACTTAAAAAGAGATGGATGGATTGCGTGAAAGGTGACATGATCAAAAAGGGAGTGATGACTGAGGTGACGTATTATGATGACAAAAACTTGTTGCGCTGACGCTACGGGAGTAGGATAAGGAGGAAGATGACGATGATATTAACAGACTTCCCATACGAAGGAGGTTATTGTTTCGTGCGTATGCCATTTTTTCTACGTGCAAACGTCTTTGAATTATACGATTTTATTGTTTTGCAGTATTACATGAGACGTAACTAAAATACGTAACTAAATTATTATTACTACGTTGCGGAGTTTAGTAACTATAACATTTTTATATGGTTTGAAAAACATTTACTTAATTGACTCCATTTGTCGTTGGAATTAGTTAATGCTTATTTCCACTTATTGCCGCGTCGACCGAGCCGGCCATTTGCATAGAATCGTATGTTTCATTACTATTGGCGCAATCACGACTGCCATATGTTGGCTAAAATATTTGCAAAATAATATTAGCGCAGTGTTACGCAGTTAAGCACTCAGTGGAAATAGGCACTAATAACAAAAAAGGATCGTCCATTTAGAGCGAGCACACCTTTGACTAAACTATCTCGCAACTTTTTCGATTGTCGCATGTTTTGCAGTCTATAGAACTATTTAGTTGCACAACTAAAAATCGAGTAGTATGTGCACCATACAAGCTCATAGGAACCGAAGCGCGACTAAACAGTTGTGCGATAGTTTAGTATATGCTATAACGTGAGAATAGTTTGAGATTTGTCATTTTTTATTAATATTAGTTTTAATAAATGTGTCCGCTTCGCTCGATTTAACAAATAAGGAGTGACTCATGTTCAAATACGCTTCGTTGACAACTTATCTGTGCCACTCAGGTTCTTTATTATTTCCTTGTTGATGTCACACGAATAGTTAAATTACATTTATATTACCTTGGGTTATATTTTTAGGCTATTGTTAATATACGTATATCGTCTGGCTTTAAATATATTTTTGTTATCAATTATCATTAAACTGCGATATTTGTACGTTAATTGTCATATTTTATTTATGAAAAAATATAAAACTTTTCTCTTTATAGTAGTTTACCGCTCATCGAGGAAGTCTTAGCGTTTTGTGCATGGTTACAGCTATGATATACTGAGAATCTGTCTCATTCTCATCTTGAGACTAAATTTTTGCTACTCTAGTAAAAAGAAAATCCATTTTTTTATTCACATTTAAATAAATAGTTTTAAGTACTTTTTTCCTCAGTCCTGAATTTTTATTTTATACCTAAAAGTATCGTTGATTCATGTACAGTTTTATTTTCCTTCATTTATCGTATTAGTCATTAGATTAACTTTTTATTATCAGTACTATCTATTGTGCTGACTTATAGAAAAGGAGAGAAAAAAGATTTTTTCCTGTAGCTATAATAAAAGTAACTATTCGCTCGGCTGACGAGTGCCCGCGAATTTCATTATACGTAAATGGATTATCGGAAAAATCCCTGCCCCAGATGTCGCTTCGCAACACGCGCTGTATTCGGCAACTCTTATTGAGACGGACAAGTCGACATCTTGTAGCGAGCCAATTACTGGTGTGTTTACCCTATTTCTAGTTACATAACAGTTTTTTGTACTTTCAGTATTTATTTTTTAAGATTATTTATGTAATATGCAATTATATTGACTATTAAAATTTGGTTAATATGGTAGATCTTATAATTGATTCCAAAATATATCTGGATAGGACAACTAGAACTATTGCCTTATTTGATTTTATCTGTAGATAAATATTATACTTCTAGCTTTCGCCCGCGACCCCGTCCGCGTAGAATTAAAAAAAAAACAAAAGTGAGTAGCCTATGTGTTCTTTCAAACTATCCTCTACATCTATACCAAATTTCATCGCAATCCGTTCAGCCGTTTAGGCTACAAACTTTAACCAACATCCATCCATCCATCTAAACTTTCGCATTTATAATATTAGTATGATATAATATAATAATATGATAGGACTTCATTAAAATCACAGTAAAATAGTAGATGTAATCGTAGACGTCGTCTATCTCATGTTATATTATAAAATCCTTATATTCAACTGACAAAAGTAAATTCTAGTTAAAATGATAAATAATTGGAAATAACCTCATTTCATAACATCAGCAGGAAACAACGTATCAATATTTATGATAAGCAATGGCCGCTGTATGCAGGAGAAATGCATAAAGCACTAATATTAGAAATCGCATCCTAGAATTATGTACAAAGTCGAATGTTTTATTTCGCCTCTAAATATTTGGCTGTTCAAATCTAAATAAACAGAGAACTTTGTTTCTAGTCTACATAAATATGGACTATTTGATAAATTTCATGCTACGAAGAATTTTGAGCAATGTTATAAAGAGGACAGCTGTTTGTTTCAGATTAACTCGAAAACTATTCTACATTTTCTACATTCGGCGAAGAAATTCAAAGATATGTGTGAAGTCAACCAACCCGCACTGGGCCAGCGTGGTTGACTATGGCCTAGTCACCCCATTATTAGGGTAGGCTCCGAGCCCCTCGGTGGGGACATATAGTGAGCTGGTGATGATGATGTTCTTTTGACGAGAAACAACCTAACCTATTTTTTTATTTAATATTTTTAATAACACGTCAATAGCATAATCTGTTCACCATTTAGTTACTTACCCTTCACCGAATTCCGTTCTGCACTGCTCGTCCATAGTGAAGTGAAAATTGGCAAGTTCTTTGGCACCTCCTAGTTCCACACCTTCGTCCTGACTTCGTTCGTGCAAACACCACCACTTCCTAAATCAAAGAAAAACGTCATTAAATATTTTAACATATTAGCAGATTTTTTTAAATACACTTTGTTCAGTAGAAGCAAGTTCATTATGTATTCTAAGAAGGTATTTTGAGATTAAGAGTTTGTGAATCCTAACCATAGTTCTTTTGCTTATTTTAGAAAAAAATACCTTAACAGCATAGAATAGAACACAATTTCCCTTAACAGTAGATACATACTAGTAGTAAACTCTTATTTAGTGTTATGCTTACTTTGACTTCTCGTGGAACTGCTCCTTGGAGCACGAAGACCATGAGAAGTGATGCATCGTGGCGAGAACTGTGGGAGCCATCACTGACCCTCGCTCCGAATCCGATTGGCATTGACCTTCGCCGTCGTGTGTTAAACCCAAACTAAGAACCAAAGAAATTTAGTTATAATGCCATTTGAATAGATTACAATTTCGTCAGCTTCGCAACTCTGCCTATGTGGGGCCGCTGTCTATAAATGAAATGTACAATTTCGACTGGCTAAGTAAAGTAATTAACCCTCAGGTAAAGTCATCAAGCAGAACCAAAAAATTAATAGCAATAATAACAAAGCTACGACTTTATTAAGACAAATTTTAATACCGCAAGGTTGATTTCAAGCTTCGTAAAGACTTAAATTAAAAGATAATTGAAATTATCATTTAAGTAAATTCAACCTTTTCATAACTTCTTTAAGATACATTTTTATTCAACATGATATGCTCTCGTCCAAAATTTCTCATGGGTATTAAAGAATTAATTCTCGCTATGTGATATCTTGACTCCGTGACGCATGACACCATTATCTTTCGTACTAAATGTGACGAGCACAAAGTCCGCGCGGTGCGGTCGCTTTGAAAATTATCTGATATGAATTCATAACACGCGAAAACTTAGTAATTAGTTCCACCACCCTTTCATATACATACCTCTTTTAATAAACAAGTTTAGAGAACAAAATGTACCATGAAATTATGTTTCGTTAGTGAATGATATATTAGTTATTATGGCTTATTTTTTAAATTTGGAATAAATCTAGGTACTTACACAATAACAATCAAACTTGTCATTATCAGGTAGCTGAATGATTCAATAAAATGCGTTATAAAATTTAAATCATTCAATTAAATTAATACTCATCTCGCAAACTAACCTAAACGCAGATTAAATTATGCTTACCAAGATTTCGGAGTCTGTTCAAATGAAATTTGAATCATCACTAAACGAGGGAATAGCCTTAATTAAGTTTTAAAATAAATCCATTCAGTTTAAAGTGAGGGACGTCTCCGAAACAAAGTTTTGGCAAATTCAAATCTGTTTATCAAATAGGATTTGTATTTCCATTAACTCAATAAGGATTAGAGGATACTAAAATAATTAATAATTACTAATTTTTTTTTCATCAATCAGAATAATGAACTTTACTATTACATTTCCTGATATAATTAATTACTTGTTGATTCTTTATCCTTAGATTAAAATACACAGAGTAAATTAATTTCACGAAACCTTTACACGAGTCTTCTCTTTGACAAATTAATTAGAACCAGTAAACGATAATTTGCACTCGTGATCACCTCACAAAGGAATACAGAAACTTTTCTATGCTTAGCAAATTAACAAAATAAGCGCAATATTAATGTAGAGAAGATACATCTTCTTGCCATGTTCGGTATGAAAAGTCGGCACAGCTTGTACTATTTTTCCATACATCTCTATCAGGCGTACTAAGTAAATGATTCCCTTCTTAAGCATATCATACACATATTATATTCAGACTTTCAAAGCAGAAACATACAGTTTTATAAATGCGCGTTTAGATGGATGGATGGATGGATGGATGTTTGTTAGTTTGTTTAGGCTACAAACAGTTGAAAGGATTTTGATGAAATTTGGTATAGATGTAGAGGATAGTCTGGAAGAACACATGGCTACTCACTTTTGTTTTTTTTTTAACTCCACGTGAACGGAGTCGCGTGCGAAAGCTAGTTAAAATATAAAGGCGTTGTGCGAAATAAATTATCATTTTTAAAAGTCCTTCGAGAGTTATAGAAATAAGTATTTTATACCAACTGTACTATTCATACTTTTTAATTAACTGCAAAATATTATTTTAACGTAACGCGTCAATGTGTTGCACACAACTGAAAAAATAACGTTTAAGATTCAACAAAATCATAAAACATTACTCAGAACACATTTGATAACCATAAACTTGTCATACTTTATTTTCCTTAACAGATAAACTAACCACATACACTCGTTAAACTGATCAATGAAGTTTTATTTAGAATTCGGAAAACATTACTTTATAAATAAATAAAATGCACAAAATAAATACAGAAATCTATACTTAATCGGATAAAGTAATCCAATATAAATTCTTGGTTGTTGACTGGAATGTTGAAACCGACAAACCGTGGAATTTCATTGCCGAAACACACGTACAAAAGCATATAGACATCCTCCTCATTCTTATTGAAGAAAAAGAGGTAGTAAAACATATCTGTATAGGTTTTTGGAAATAGAAACCAACAGTTATAAATACCATCGTCTTAGAGCGGGCACACACCTTTAACTAAACTATCGCAAAACTATTGTGCGATTGTCGATTGTTTTGCAGTCCACTGCACAGTTTAGTTGCACAACTAAAAATCGAGTAGTGTGCGCACCTCCATATAAGCTCATAGGAATCAAAGCGAGACAACAGTTGTGCGACAGTTTAGTCAAAGATGTGCGCGCGCTCTTAGTTGAGCAAATTCTAAAGTTGGTTGGCATCCGCTATTTGGGTACGACTAAAAGAATGTATGAATGTGAATTTATAAATCCTGACAACGATACATCTTAAATCTATACTTTTATATCTACGAGTATATCTATACTATTATAATAAAGCGTAAACACACACTTCTTTGATGCCTAAGATGTCAGCTATTGTAGCATATTTTTAATAATACTTTTTTTAATAAAAAGCGCTACACTTACGTCATGCTTTAGGCTATATATTTTCACGCCATTAAACTTAGGGAGTAAATATTGTGGATAAAAACCATAATGTGGGAAAGAGACCATAAGTTGTTGCCAACATCAAGAAAGAAAGATTTGTCATGTCATGTCATGTCATTTTAACATTTGCTATTGATAATTTGACAAATGTAAACGATAAAATGACAGTTTTTATAAATACCTGCGGATGAAGCCGCATGGGAACAGCTAGTTAAGAATAAATAGGAAAATAAAATTAAAGAATGCATCATATTAATAAATTCACATAAAATACTTTACAGTTTTTTAATTTTATTTTAACTAAACCTTTATACAAAGTTCAGCGCAACAGAAACTGATTCCTCTTACGTTTATCTAAAGCTTATCTTGTTAGTTTTACCACAGACCTTAAACTATGTCAGAGTATTATCAGACATAGCCCTCAACGATTTCATCTTAAATCCTTGTCTACTGTCGATTAAAAAACTAAAGAAGTTGCTATTCTAGTTCATATTCGCCATATTAGATAAATCCTTCCGACTTGATAAATAACTAAGTACGGAATTCTTTGAGTATTTGAGACACAATATCATATAAAAGTTATATGAAAAAGCCTTTTACTCGACATAAAAAATTACAAATTTTAGCGATTCATAAAACTACTGAGATAAAAATGTCCTCTTTTGTTTCATTAAAAAAAAAAAACGAATTCTAAAAATGACTAGCAATAAAGTGTAAGAAATAATTACGACAAAGCTCAGCGTTTTCAATCTCTGGGTTGCGACTGTCTGTGTTTGAGATACCATTTTTGCTTCTATCGTTTACTAAGCAATAATCGCAACATGTAACTATGAGACCCTTTTTCTACTGAAACGAAGTGAGTTAGATACTATGACTTCGTTTAGATTTAAATTAGTTAAATTCGCGTTTATTTCGAAAACAAGTTTTAAAATTAATACCTTTGATGTATACTAATGGTTCTTTAAAATTGAGGAAATGCTAATTAATTTCAAACTTCATAATTCATTAGAAAACATGACCCAATTTATATTCACGTCACGTTAGAAGTGATCAAAGAATTTGTTTGTACGAGTGTGGAGGGCATTTTATCGGTAGTTTATTATTGGTTTGTTTACATTTAGGCTGAGATAAGCTTTACAAATATCGTAATTCATTTGAAGTTTTATATCCTTGATGCTACTATACGTTGTCCTTGAGTAAACATGACCCAGATTAACTATGATTTGTTGGTGTATAAATGAAATAAAAACATTATTCACGATTTATGCTGGGTTTCTAAAGTTCCCTATTACTATACCATTACTCACGAATTCATCAGTGTCAGGTTGACTTAAGTTTCATTGGAGTAAAACTCGGAAACGTAAGTTATCGAATCAAAAACGCTAAGGAATGGTTTAAAGTTGCTGGGAAACTGGCCATTAATAATGTGGTGAAACTAAAAATAACACAAAGCTCGTAATTGCTACCGACTCAGGAGCAGGGGAATAAGGCGCGGGGTGTAATACGTTTTTGTCCCCGGGGACCCTTGTTTGAGCCGATGACAGACGACCGCAGTGAACATTTGCTCAGAGCCACAGCATCCTCGTCAAAAGGTCACGCCGCGGCGTAAACTTGAAATATTATTAGCGTTCAACTAAATGAGAAGAGGAATTACACGCTTTTCTTTTATGACTTTTATGATGTTCTAAAAATATTTCTTTCGGTGGAGCATATTTCATTTAAATTAAAATTATATGCGTCTTAAACAATGCGTTTTGTTTTGAATTTATTTCAAATTCTCTGTGAAAATATAAGATGTTTGTTGGCAAATAACCTAGTAAAACAACTCTTCGTTCTCTGCAATATCAAAAGCAAACGTCGAGAAATTTTCCAGTGAGCCGATAAATTGCTTTCGATAGATGTCAATAAAACAGCGGCTGATAGTAAACTTGCGTCGGAGAAACGCATCTGCAATACGAAATAACCTCGCGTGTCCTCATCGCTCAGCTTTGAATCAATCGCCACAGAAATAACGCTAGCCGTCACTCGAAAGGTGTATTTTTTGCTTCCTCTGATCACCGGCCATCAATCTCTCAGTAATTTCTCTCCTCTGAAGCAAGCGACACACGTTAGGTTTTGCTCAACGGTTTTAACCTCGAATATAACTACGCAATTTCGTTTTACACGCGATATGGTTTGCCTGCAGATAATGTAGGGCCAAAACCGTCATGTCAACTAACGTGAGGGGCCTGCTTTATTGATTACGTAATGACATGATTACAGACAGGCCGATTTGTGAGAAAAATCATATTAAAAAGTCATCGACTTGAAAGCAAAGACGTGTAATTTCAGTTCTTTCGAGGCTAAAAGTACCGTTGTAATGTCTTTTTGATTTATTTAATAATCGTAAAAGATTTTTTCTCGTGACATTCGCTAATTTCGTTGACAGCCGACAATGCGATTTTAATTTTCTTTTGTTTTTGCAAGAGTCACGTAAAAGAAAATAAATTCGGTTGTGTTAAAAATTAAAAAAACACTAATTACTTTTATAAATAACAATAATAAAAATTATGTTCGTTAACTTACAAGAGATTTATTTTAAGCAATTCTCTATATCATTGTAAGTTCGATATTAAACGTACTTTGTGAGTTATTTGGACGTCAATCGAAACGAAAACAAAGGGATTCGCTTTTAGAATGCAAATAGGCTAAGAATATTATCGGTTATTTGGTACATTTAAATATAAACACGATGAGGTCATTACTAAAACATTCTTAGAGTACAAAAACTGTAATTTATCGTTACTAAGAATTTAATAAGAAAGTATAATTATATTTTATTAGAACAATTTGAAATTTAAAGAAATATCTCTAATGTTTACATAAATTAAAGATAGTATTATTAATGTTTAGGCAGAATAGAGAGCCAATTTACCTTTCAAAGGGTTTGTCGCGAACAATCTGCCACAATTATAAAATCTGTTTTCGTTAAATAAATGTTGCCATTACTTGCTACGTTAAGTTATTGGAAATTCCTGTATCGTAAATCAATAGCTCCTTATATTTATTAACGTAATTAAATAGAAATTCAATAATTTTATGCTTTGCACAATATTAATGACTGCGACAGTAAAATTTATCACCTATGATTTGTAGTGTAACATGCTGAGCCTACTAAAAGTTTTTCAGTTTTATTAAATTAAAAATTTAATAATAAAAAGTTAAGTCAGTTTGTTTGATATGATATCATTTTAAAAGTGCATATTTTTATCTTTGGAAGTTGTCAAAGAAAATACGATTTTTCGTTTTATGAACAACAATAGTTATTTACGTATGTTGACAAAAGTTTTTTTAGTTTAAATACATCGATAATTTTACTTTACTTTGCTTGATTAATATAAAAATGTATATTTTTATCTTTCGAATGTGTCAGAAAATACGATCTTTCGATTGATGGACGACAAAAGTTATTTACTTTTGTAACACATCATTGGAGTTATTCGATCGTAAAGCTTATCTTCAGACCAAGATTTACGTTTGTTGTCATTCGTTCACATCATACATCACTGACATTTATATTTAGTTGTTGGCATAGATATGTATAAATAGATAGGCGTATATTTTAAAATGCCAACATATACTTCGTTCCGACTTAAACTTCATTAAAAACTTTTCCCCGCGACCAAACGGAACCATCAGCGCCAAATTCACGAAAATCAAATAGACACAAAATACCACAGTTTACGAGTATAGCCTGTCTATTTATAAAGATCAGTGGTTGAGACCTTAAAAAGCTAATGAATACTCACAGATGACCAAGTTCGTGTGCGATAACAAAAGCACTGGTAAGCCCTTCGTCCCTGTCGATGGCGGCAGAGCGCGTGCGGGTGCAGATGCCACCGACGGAGGCGAAGCCCGATGGCCCGCCCAACGGCGCCCGTGTCAGCCAAACGGTAGCATCCCAACCAGTACTATCTATTGAAAATAGGATAAAATAAATAAATAAATGAAACAAGAAAGTAGTGAGATGGAGTAAGTGTCAAAGAGAGAAAGAAGAAAGATCGAAAAATGTATGGATAGTTTAGTAAAGAAGGGAACGGGCAGAAACGGACAAGCATTTCATCAGTAATCAATAGCAACAGTTCATCTCATAATAAATCTAACAAACCTAACGGGGGTTATAAATGTACCAATATCATAATTTCCAGGGGTTCCCCCGCGTATCTCTAGAATATCATTCAAAACAATATTGACATTGCTTCGGTAAAATGAACACAGAGTGAACTCGCAACTTTGTTAACGTATATTATCTAGTTGGGTTTTTGCACAACTCCATTGTCCAAGGTATTAAATAATAAGAGATAAATATGTAAGTTTCTTAATTATGTTAATAAGATTTTTAATTGTCAAAAGTATTACAAATATTAATAATAATAATAAAATCCAAAGAATACCTCAATTAACGAATTATTACTAGATTTACATTTTTACATGTTAAGTTCTACAAGAAGTTGCTTAGAATAATCTATTGTCTGTATTGATAATTTATTTAACCTTATGCTAAAGCTGTTCATTGAATATTTATTAGACATTATCTTATTTAGTGTCAAAAACATTACGAAATAACTAACCTGCAGGTAACTTCATAAGATGTCTGTAATTCCATTTATTTGCACCTTCTAATGATTTTCGCACATTTCCATATTTTATAATTGGATCCTTTTCCTCGTACATAAACAAATTGTTGATGACGAGAGTTATGTTTGAATTGAGCGACGGGTCATTGAAGATGGCACTGACCTTTAAAGTATTACATAAATATGAGTTATCGGCCGCAACACTTCGCAAACATCACGCTCAACCATACTTACAATGTTCATTAGAGCTAAAATGTAATGCTTCACTCGCTCTTGACCGTGAAACTTCAACATCGTATGGTCGGCCACGATAGCCATTTCGAGCCACAGGCCCTTCACGCCTGGAATAAAACAATACAATGCATTTCCATTCACAATCGCGCTGTACAACAAAACTATACACCGGCACACACACCTGACACCGGGCGGGTCACCGGGCGCAAACCATGAAAGTTTTGGACGTCATCCGAGTGGTCACTGTTGCGCACGTGCACATGCGGCGAGGGCGGCTCATCGTCGAAGTCAAACTCGAGGTCGGCGACCGTGTCACCGGTGAGGTTGTAGGCAGCGGGCGGGTCCGACAGCACGACGTCGCGCCGCCGCAGCACATGCGACTGCCTGCCTTGTGGCCGCGTCGGCTGCAGCACGAACTCCTCGCCGCCCACCTGCAGCAGTCCGTACAGCTGCCCGCCGCACTCCGTTACTGTCACCGAGGACGAGTCCTCGTACAGCACGCGCCCCGTGTAAAACTGGCACTCGGTGTAGTACGGCGAGCGGATAGCGTGGTTCTCCTGCAGCTCCAGGTGCCATCCGAAAAGGTGCATGTGATGTATGGAATGAGCATGGCGCGTGGCGCGCATGGGCGCCGCGGGCGAGAGCAGCAGCGGCCGTGCCGGCGGGCGCCAGGCCTGCGCGCTCGCCAGCAGCGTCAGCGCCCACAGCCAGCGCGCCATCGTCCGCGCGCAGCCGCCGGCTCCGCCTCTCTGCCCGTGCGCGTGCGCGAGCCCGTTGCCGCGCGTCGTTGCCGCTGCGCTCACGCATCTACGCACATGGCGACCGTCTCGTCGCATGGAAGGTAAACGACTCCGCGCTCCGTAGATTGCATCGAGCCTCATGCCCCACGCCTCTGCGTCATTTAGTAAACAAAGGGCGAGCGCCTGTTTTGTTTTATAATCGCCGCGCGTGTTACACATGCTTAATTAGGTACGTATTTATTTGTATTACATGTCTAACATGTCTGGTTTAATTAATCGGCGTCTGGAAGTAAACGTGCTACTCTTTGTTATAATTATCTTTGGTTTTAGAATCACAATTCAAAAAAGTTAATGACCCCAGCTTCTGTTGTAAGTATAGCGATGGAATAGCGGAGTTCGCATTCTCTGAAGAACGGCGGTGGCCTTTGAGGGAGCATTTTTTTATCGAAATGAACTCGAGCATTCGGAATGTGCGGCAGTAAAAATGTGACAGAAACGCGACATCGTATAAAATCTACAATAGTATTAACATCAGCGGTCGCCGGCTGACGGCAGATACNNNNAAAAAATAATGAGCGACCGACGGAATGGAAGAGCCCGCTCGGAATGCAATTATGAGCGTGTAATAATAGATATTAAATTTCACGTCGAAATGAACCTGAACTATGATATCATCGTAGTAAGTGAAGCCGTACTGGTATGATAGTGGCACGACATGAAGTGGGCTACGCGAGGCGGGTGACTGACCGCTGACTGCTGACTGCTGACCGCAGCTGTGACGTCACGCCACCGGGCAAATTATCGATGAAGAGATAACTTTGCAAAGCAATGAAGTACATGAAGTAATAAACGAAAATATGCATACAAAAATAAAACAGTAAGTCACATTTCATAACATAATTTTCTACCGAAGAATAAATTAAATGTAATAGCGTATAAAACTGTAATATAAAGTTAAGTATAACAACATAATATTAATAATACATATGAAATGAATCATAGAAAATCGAGAACAATATCATTATTTAATTAGTAATTTATCACAATAATGACTAAGATAAGAGGAATTACAAAATAATACAAAGAACGTGCATTGAACATTGGTTATTTCGTGTAGCGCACATAATTTTACACAGGATTTTCCTTACACTACACAAAACATCTTTACCGAATTATATTACTACTCCATTCTGTTATTATTCTCTGGTAAATAGTTGCGTACAAAAGCTCTTATCTTGTCACTCTAGTGTTTTTATTGTTGCCTATACTATTTTTAAATTTCTACCGGCAACTGTTTGAAAATGCACTTTTATTTTTATCCCGTCGTGGCGCTCTTTCAAGAACAGCTGCCGCTATCGTAATATCTCGTTTCGCTTTATTTAACACAATACAGTATCCACCAACATAAAAGAGTAACAAACTACATACTTGCGTTTATTAATCGCGCGGGGAAATAACGCCCCATTTCACGTTTTTATAACTTTTTCTTATATTATATCATTTCATATTTTTTAATATTATGATTCACCTAAATTGTATCAATTCCGATGAACGATATAAATATTTACTTACAGTTTTATAGCTCTTTCTAGCAATTTTTAGCCGCGCGGCGAAAAAAAAAACGTCGCAAAAACAAGTGGGAGCTCTTAAACCGGGACGTGGAAGGTACAGTTAATTTTATTATATTAAGATACAATTTGTATGGACAAAAAAATTACAAACGTATAATTAATTTTGAACTAGTATGGAAACAACATCTTTATTATGCTAAATGTTAACCAGATCTCAGACGATGACAAGAATGGAGCGAAGTGGAAGTCTAATCGGGAAACCTCGCCGTATAGGATACGAGCTACAAAGCTAGAAAGAGAGAGTGTAATTAAATATTAAAATTAATCTAACTGTAAATTCATCACATACATTCTAACCGTCTCGTTGAATGAAACGTGCATCTCTAATCGCCGTTAGATAAAGCGGATTCTCAGTAATCAACTCAAGTGAATTTGAATAAGATATCCAAGTCATTTCATAAGACGATTTATTTACATATTCATTAGATGACACTAATTAAAGGTAACATAGAAACTGAACTGCTATCTCTCGTATTACCTGATTGACACGATCTTTGCGTGTGTTTTTATGTATGTCAATTACGTTGTGACTAGTACCGGTTATAGTGCATTTAACACCCCTGGGCGAGGTTACTATGACGCCCTTTTGTACCTGATATATGAATAACAGGCTTAAATGAGAGTTAGTTATTCGTTAACTTTGGCGCCTCTTTCTGTCCTTTCTGCCACTCCATTATAAATGCAGCTTAAACGACTATATAGGCAAATAACGCGTCATTAAATTCGTTTTATAGTGTCATAGGGGTACAGTTAATAGAGTTTTTTTTTTAATTCATTGTCAAAAAATCTCTCAAAACAGAATTCGTAAGTTACGCTTCGAATAGCATTGAAATTATGCTAGTAGGTATACACTTGTTAAATTTCTCAACTTATATAAAACTACATATGTAGTTATGACGTGTTGTATGAGTCAAGAGTCTAGCCTCTAAATGGCCCTTCTTAGATTCCAGTGCAAGGCTCTTATCAAGGTTTTATCTCCATACATAGCATACATTCCTCCGGACATGTTAAGCAAGTTTATCAAAATACAACTCTAGCTAATATAACGTGATTCATAAAAGTATGAACAAAATTTACATGAATTAAATTTCTCCAACTAACGATTATGAGATTTCACTTAGGGTAGGATTCTCATACCAAAGTCACACGAAGAAAGATCACTTAGTGACTGAGACCTACATCGTATAAAAAAAATTCAGCTCTCATTGTCTTTCTGTCTCTGTTACTAAGATCTTACAAACCACGCAACGGTTTACAATGCAGTTTTTTATATAGATTTTTTTTATAACATAAGGTGGCAAACGAGCAAGCGGCCACCTGAATCCGCCAAAATGGCGAAGCGACCAATACCCATACACCTCCGCAATTGCAAATGCGTTGCCTACTCTTATCCGACGGAGGAGGAGACGCACATGAGGAGGATATTTCCCCTTCCTATGCATCTCCTCCACCGTCAATTCCACATCCCGTTCCCATCCTCTCCTTATAAGAAAAGGCTGGTTAAGAGAAAAAGACTTAAATTAGGCCTCCGGCAAGAGACAGTTTAAGACATGTATTCTACTGTGATGTAATTGTATTATTTGCGCTTTCACTGTAAATTACAATAAATAACTACTAGGTAGATCAGACGTTAAATAAGATGAACAACTATCGCCCAACAGTTGTGCGATTGTCAAATTTATCTCTACCAATTCAACTGTTTAGTTGCACAACTAAAAATCATGTAGTGTGCGCCCAATAAACTCATAGGAATCAAAGATAAACTAAACAGTTTTGCGATTGTTTAGTCAAAGTTGTGCGAGAGCTTTTAAACTCAAACTTCAAAACTTTAAACTTCAAAACACATGGTCGGAGAGCTAGTAGCAGTATAAACCTTTTTATGTACTGACGGGATAAGTTAAGAATTACAGTTGTATAGTGGGAATGAAATACAAAAGAGCATAAATCGTGATAATACGAGCAGTAAAGTTAATTGAAGACGGCGGCACTCACCGCTCCTGTCATCAAAGGAGACCGCCTTACTGGTGGAGGAGGGGTTAGATTGTTATTTAACTTTGTACATCAAGTAAAACGTATTTAAAGTAATTAATTTCTTTTAAATAAAGACAATTATACTGTATTATTTCGTTAATGTATTATGAAATACAATCTCACAAAATTTATTTTGTTCTTGCATATGTTATCCTTTGATTTATAAGTGATTTTTTTAAGTTACTTTAATAAGTGCTCTAAGAATTTCTACATAGACTTTATATTAAAAGTCAAGTATCAATTATTAATCATGTCGAGTCGTTTTTTCTTTTTAAAACTTGTAAGTTATTCTATTATTTATATTTATAATTACCAAAAAATATCACACTTATTCTCACTGCCTTCAAATCTCTGACCCACTGAACCTACCGTCTAAAGATGAATGCTAACATCAAATATATTTCTGACGCGACGATTACGTAGTCATTATAATAGGAAGTGTCTAATATTTTATACAAATAAAGATTATATTAAATTATGACGATAAGCAATATAAAAGCAAATAGTCACGTATACGTTAAATTTCACACAAAGAGCTAGAAATCCGTTTGGCACAGACATAGTTCTTTTGTTTGACTACGTCGAGATTCAAGGAAGAAAATTAATAATATAATATTTGTAAACTTGGCAACCGCAACGATTGTAGTACACACAAAAATGGCAATGACGCGTTTACTGTTACTTATCTAAAACTAGCTTTCGCCTGCGACTCCGTCCGCGGGGAATTAAAAAAAAAGTGAGTATCTTATGTTCGTTCATGCTATCCTCTAAATCTATACTGAATTTCATCGAAATTAGTTCAGCCGTTTAGCTTATATACTCTTACAAACATCCATCCATCCATCTAAACTTTCACATTTGTAATATTAGTATGAAGTATGATATACAACTATTACAAGGTGTGGTATTCAACATAAATATTGTTACAGACTTTAATACGTTTTATTCAACTACATAATAATGTTTTATTTTAAAGAGTAGATATTTCTCATTGATTTCTTTGAATGGATAATTTGTATGCGAACTTAGAAGCAATCCTAAAAGGCATAGCGAACGTTTTGTTTAAATGTAAATAAGTTAAGACAATGGCGTTTTAACATGTCAATACGAAAGCCGGCGGCATTTCAGTTATCTAAAATCTTAGTATACTTTGTATTTAATACGAGATAAAATTTTAGTATGCATGTTATCAGATTTGAACTTCAATCATTACGTTTGTTATTAATTTCAAACTCTATACCTAACCTATAAGTTATTAAAGTGACCTCGAAGTTCAAATATCTTAGGTTATGAAATTATCTCTTTATGATTCAAACACCTGTTCACTATTTATGTGGCCAATGCTGAACTTGACCAATAATTCACTGAGATATAAATTTTAACATTACTATGTTATATAATGTTAGTAATCTGTGGTAAACTCTATGCGGTTAAATGTAGTGTAAACGATTGTATGTTCAAACTCCGAGTTCGAGCCTGTTCTACCAAATTGTAAATTGAAAACAATCCAACGTGTATAATATGAGATGAAAATATCGGATTTTGTTACCTTATCTGACAGTGTCATATTGAAGCTATCTGACTCTCTATCAGCCAGTGCTGGGACAGGCTCTTAGTTATTGGAATTAAAAGCAAAATAATTTACATCAGACTTAAGCAGGTTTAAAAGACTTGAGCTAACAATTTACCAAAGAACAAAAGCTGAAAACAAGCTAAAAAAGAAACAGGTCACCAGAAACATTTTATTAATTAGGAGTAAACTTCGAATAAATCAGTGTATCATCTAGAAATACAAGATTTTTGTGCCTATAAATTTAAATAAATTGTAAATGTAATAGTTCATATCTCCTTAACATGTTTAGTTTGCAAAGGTAGTGCAGACACTAAATAACAGATTGTGTTAAAACTTTAGACTTAATGTGTATGTGAATAAAGTCCAAATTTAATCTCGACGAAATCGAAGCAACATCGTCAGTGCACTATACGATGTTTTCACCAACTGAAACAAAAGTTTTTTTTTATCGACGTCTAACAAATATCGTCTTACAAGACGAGCCGCACCCAGAGTCCTTAATTGATAGCCATCGAAGCAAGTAGGTTAAGTCTATCAACACTAAGGGACGATTTAATTAACCTTAAAATTACCGTGACAATGACGAATGCGGTACGAAATCTTTCTCAGAATTACACTATCAGCGGTAGAGAGTTAAAAAAAAACGTTACAAAGAAATCATGTCATTACCACTTCATACACGTGTCTTATTTAAACGACGACTCATTTTGATATCCGATCGCTAATGAAAGTGTTGCACGCAAACTCAATATTTGCAAAAAAATACAAACACGACTCAAGGCTAACAAAGAAATATTAAAATTATTTCTTGTACAAATACCATCAAATGGAATATTAATACTTTACTTACACCAGCTACTTAGCATATAAGTAATCACTTAGCATCGTTATAATTTTATTGACTTAGTTCATATAATACTGCCTTCTAACAATGTAAGATGAAAATTATCTAGCTAGATTTGAATTTGTTAATTTTAGCACAGGTCTCCTCATTATCATCGTTCTTGTTACCATCACTATCATTATCATCGGATTATTCCCAACCGTCACTCCGATCTGTCGCCACGTGGGGACAGAAGAGTATAAAAAGTTTCATCCCTCCCAACTTTTAGTCCCATTATCACCAATAATAATGACAGATGGAACCGTTAAGAAATAAAATAAGTTACAACTGTCCCCTCGTCGCAGAGAGTGACGAATGAATCTTTTTAGTCTCATCTGTCCCCACGCGGGGACAGAGTGGGGTGACGGTTGGGAATAATCCTTATCATCGTCACCATCACCATCTTCATCATCAATACATCATGTCAATGTCCTAGTCAAGTTGCATCCATCACTGCTGAACTGGTCTAGTTCAATGTATTTCACATTTCTTATTTACATACATTAGCATATGATGCCAATGACAGGTCATACATTCCTCCGGCTGTGAGGACCAGAGGTTTATTAGCTCTAGTGAAGACCAGGAGTAGAGTAGACCGGACGCCAGGGATGGAAGCCAGGCCACGTTCCCATCCAGAACAGTACACTGTAAAACCAATACCCTCGCTCTGAAAACAAAAGCAATGAAACTGCCAGTTAGTGTAATAAATATACTTATATTACACTATGGTTGTTAGGAAGTTGAAAGGGGGATTTGTTCTAAATTTTCAACTATTACCTGTATGGATATTTCTTCACACCAACGGCAAAGAATATACAGTACAACCATGTTGTATCCAAGATAGAAAAACGCCATCAGCGATTTAGTTAAGTTTACTGAAACGGACTGCAAAAGAAATGCAACTTAAAAATAATTAGAGAGCATTCATTTGTTTTACCGTTAAAAAAATCTGACGTGTAAAATGGATGATATTATGCATTGCAGAATTAAGATGTTCTTTGAATATAGCTTTAGTTTTAGCCAAGAAGAAGTATGAAGCAATAATAGATTTATTGTGTTTCTTTCAAAGTAACCACCACCATAACTCACCATGACAATTTGGTAGCCTATAGCACAGATCAATACTGTGCTTGTTGCCAGGTGTCCTAGCATTGGACCACTTAATATTTCACGAAGATCCAGCGTATTACTAAAAAATCAATAAAACACAAATCTTATATTACTGATAATACAGAGGAATACAGGACACGTAAAAGTCACTTACTTTAAAATAAATCTATGTTGGTTGATCAAGTCCCTAAGTCGTTTTCTAATTCTATATTGAAATCTTTCGTCGTCCAACAATTGAGTTTCTGTCATCCCTAAAATTACAAAACACGTAGCAAATTATGCCAACAGAGTACACGAAGATATGAGGATTGGTGGTACCAATAGCTTGAGATTTTCTGATTAATAAATACTATGGAAATGTAACAAAAGCAAAGATAATTGTAAAGCAGGGTTTAATAATTTTGAATCTGAGAAGATTCCAAAACAAAAGAGTACCTTTAAAGTCTTCCGCACAATCACTCAATACATTAGTAAAACAATCCTGTAACACCGCAAATTGGCACAATAGTTGCATCAAGTAAACCTGAATGAGAATATCATACACCATCACGAAGTACGATACGTAAGTAAACATTACCACTACCGTTGTGTAGACTATTGAATATGTAGAGGGGTCGGTGTAATCAAATGGCAAATAAACAGGCACCATCAAGTTATAGTCAATATCGTCCATAAAAGGATACCCATACCTGAAAAATTATAGTCTATGTGTGTCAAGGGGCTAATAAACCAATAAGTATAGGTAAACTTAAAAAAATTTGGTTACATCATTGATGCTTGTAAATAATTTTGAAGATTTGTCTTTTTGCTTGTATTGAAATAACTTAAAAACTACTTGGGCTATTTCAAAAATTCTGTCAACATTAAAAAGCTACATTATCAGTGAATAACATAGGCTATATCTTTTACTATTTTTAATTTTACTCGAGCGAAGTCGCGAGCACCAGCTAGTCTACAATTAAGTTGACACCACCTAAACATGTTATAATGTGAAAATAATGCATATTGAATACTTTATCCATCAATTTTAATGTAAAATTAAACCACATTTTTTAGAAATGAAATCTTACCAAGCAACTAGGGTACAAGTCCCGAGCCTCAAAAGAATCATTAAATACGTTCTATTTCTTTTAACCCACACATCCACTATTTTCCTCCTCGCTTCATTAGATATGTCAAAACTCGGTGATTCCATTGCCGATGCTAAAATTCTGAAGGTTTTGCGGTATTTAATCTGTGAAAACAATGTACATGTTTCGTATTTTTTTAATTCCCAAACTTCCATAACGAAGAGTACGAATAAAATCATTAAAAGTGCGAAGTGATAAAATATTAGGTCATCATTTATTTAACCAACCGTAAACATAAATAAATTAAAAAAGTACTATATCATATAATCACATACATCCTCTTTTAATTTTATTACAACAATTTGATTAATCGGCGAATGTAACATTTCACTACATAATTCCCAATCAGAATAACGGCATTCGAACTTCGCAAATTAAGTTGATTCCCCTTCGATAAATTATGCAATTAACATCAATGAAAGGGGCCTTTGTGTTGCTTGTCCGAGGACCGAGTGGACCGTATGAAGATTGGAGTAACGGTATACCTTGATTGCGTTCACTCGCTCGTTATGACTATATTCCTTATAGTCTCCTTTGAACGGATTAATACTCTAAGATCTAGTACTTTACAGTATTCGGCAACCATCCTATTTTTTAAGAGTTACGCAAATTTAAGAGTTACGCAACATTTATCGTTATCATAGTAACAATTTCCATAAACCTTTAGAAGATAACATTTTACTTCAGATTTTAGAAGACGCGGTACTAAAGAGACACTTACCGAAGAATACTGTAGGGTCTGGTTGGTGAAATGATATGACGACCACGAGAGGTTGTAAATGGTTACTTAAGTATTTTACTGCAGTTTTAAATAGGAAATCTAAACTAAAAGGTACCCTCTGTGACCATATAGTTCTTTATATTGAGCCTTCTTTTAACTTTAACGGCCTTCAGATAGTGAGGTGAAAGAAGTAAAGTCCAGTATATTTATAAATTATTAGCGACTCCGTCCGCGTAGTATAAAAAAAACAAAAGTTAGTAGCCTGTGTGTTCTTCCAGACTATCCTCTACATCTATACCTAATTTCATCGAAATCCGTTCAGTCGTTAAGTTTACAAACTCTAAGAAACATCCATCCATCTAAACTTTTGTATTTATTGAAATATGATTATGTGATAAAATACTCATACATATTATATTAGTCGTAATAAATACATTCTCACCATGTTGCGATACTTAAAAAGTGAGCTGAACTGAATAAAAGTTGCATTTATGCTTTCAGTGGCCACGTCAACGGTCCATGTTATGTTGAACATATACCATATCTCTCCGAAAACTATAAGCATAATAAATAGCTTTACTATGCTACTGTATATAAAATATCCTACGCTATTTTCAACTGTCGACAACCCTGAAAATAATGTTTATATATTCGAAGGAAGAAAGTAGCGCCAGTGGTGGAGAAATTGAGAAGCAAAAGGTTAGCATAGTATGGACATGTTATGCGACAAGACGATGGGGACATAAACCAGAAATTGTTAAGATTGAATGTGGATGGCTACAAAGATAGAGGAAGACCGAAGAAAGTATGGATTGTGTGAAAAAGGATATGCTTAAGAAAGGAGTGGATTCAGATATGATGGCCGATAGAGATGTATGGAAGAGCAGCACATACTGTGCCGATCCTCCGTAAGGATAATGGCAAGTAGATGATGATAATCGAAGGAAGAAATAAGTTTTTTTTTATGACTTTATCTTCTCAGAATAAAAAAAAATATCAGTTTAGGTTACTTACGCACATATAAACTTATTTCTAGTAACAGTCCATTTAAAATAGATCCAGCCGTTTTTAAGATAACTCCGAATGCGGTTTTGCACAGACACTTTTCATATTGGATTTTCGTTGAAAGTAATGCAAAAATATCATTTTATGTTTTTTGCAGACCATTTTCATCAATTGTATAGATTGTATGATTCTACACGTGGATTAAATCTCGTACTAAAAATACTTCTTAGCCCCTATCTTTTATTTATTTTCATCAATCAAGAACAGTCTTAACTCTTCCTTAAGTGTTTTTTGCAATTAATTGTCTAGTGAATTTCAACCTTTTATCAATTGAAGATAAAAAATAAGTACTTTATTTTTTCTAAACTAATGTATTCAAATTTACTTTTATTTATCAATTCCCTTAATAAAAAACATCGATAATTTATATAGAAGATCTTTTTTCTTAAATTACCTGTGACATAAACAATTCTGTATATAGTTTCAAAGAATCTTGTCTCCAGTTTGCCGCTAGAACATTCTAGAGCCTTGTTTTGTGTCAGTTTATTCCAGAGATGGGTGATGAACGTCATTTTGTCGCGAAGGGTCAACTTGTAATGTCTAATTATCAATCTTTCCCTTTACTGAACGGCTACCTATTAATTGTCGGATACAAAGTCTTTAATGATCCGAGAATTAATTACAATTCACGTTTCCATTCTTCGTTACGATACGATTTGTACTCATGCATCGTACGTTATTCACGTGTACTTATTTTCTCCATTAATTAAGTTTTTATCCCTTCCTTTTTTTAAGCCAATTGTGGTTCCATTTCTATTACACATTTCTTCACATTTTCATATTTCACTATAATCTTACTGATATTAAAAATGCGAAAATTTAGATAGATGGATGGATGGATAGATGTTTGTAGTCTTAAAGTGCTGAAAAGATAACGATAAAATTTGGCATAGATGTAGACGACGGTCAGGAAGAACACAGAAGCTACTTATTTTGCTTTTTTAATTACACGCGGACGGAGTCGCAGGCGAAAGCTAGTTTGTTAATAATCGTCAGTGAATGGAAGTAAGTCACATTTCAAAGAGATTATCATATATTATTTTCACATTAGCATTGTGTTTAAAATTTCATTAAAGTGTTCAAGCAGCGTTTAAATATCGCTTATCATTTTACTAAGGAATTATTTACAAAGAGTAAGCGCGATTTAACGCTTGTTGGCGTCTTTCAAATTTAATGGCATGTTAATTAAACTTAAATTACAATTAATAAAATATATTTTGTATCTTATTTTGACTTTTAAATTATAAAATATTTTTTATCTTTTGTTAACGACATCGTCGGCACGAAAATATAAATAGTAGCGTACAGTTCTCCAAGATTATGATCTACATCTATGTACATATGTAGAATTTCTAAGAAATATGATGAGCCGTTCTGCAGATGCCTTTTAACAAACATCCATTAATCTAAACATTCGCATTTATAACATCGCTAGCTTTCGGCCGCAACTCCGTCTGCTTGGAAATAAAAAGTGAGTAGCCTATGTGTTCTTCCAGACTATCCTTTACATCTATGCTAAATTTTATCGAGATCTGTCAAGCCGTTTAGGCTACAAAAATCTATCCATCCATCTAAACTTTCGCATTTATGATATAAGTAAGATTAGTAAGAAGTAAGATTGTAGTTAATAACTTTAGTGAGCACATTCCTACGTTTACAGCTGCACTGACACTTAGGGTTATCCTTAGTGGCCTTTAAACTGTCCTCAGTTAGATTCCTTTTATATTTGAAAACTTATCGAATGCGTCCAGTAACGAAAGTGTTGTTTATTCTTAGAACAGTCAGACACAAGGGGATATGTGTCATACAAGCTCCTTTCGTAATTAGCCGACATGTCGGATCCATTTATCGTTGTACACTCAACTGCATAAATTCATACATCTACTTTAGAAATTTGAATAGGCGTTCGTTTTAAAAGTAATGTATGCAATTATCCGGCAATATGTATATATGGTCGAAAAAATACGGAAAGACCTGATTTACATGTCTTTTAAACCGAAAGAGTAAAAGTAGAAGTTTCTATAGCTTGGTAAATGTATATTTTTGCAGCTGACTGTACTTAAATTACGCATTAACGCATCACGCATGTTACAATAAACTAGGACTAATTGGTGATGGGTAGATGTGCAAATGCAAGAAATCTCTCTTCATCTGGAGCTTATCAAGATTGAAAGAAGGTATTCGTAACATCGTTGAGAAAATTCATATTAGATATGTGCAGTTAATATATCGAATAACATTAATAAGTCTCATACAAATTTTGTAGATGTCATTACGAATACTTTCTCGCATATTTTCGAAGTAGGCCCCCATCTTAATTAAGGTGAAAGAATCTAGAGTAAGATAGAGATTTTTATATATAATTTTACTAAAAAAATACTGTACTTAGTAAAACACGTTAATTGTCCGTAAGAACGTGGCCTTTACGCTTTATGGAGACAAATTGCCAAGGAATTATTTAATTTGGTGCGTTTAACACAGTTCAACACTTGTGGTTAACAGTTTAATCTCAAACACATGTATGTGAAGACTACATACTTGATAAAATCCCAATGTTTTTATACAAATAATTATCTTTAAAAGTCAGAGCGGGAACATATAGTAGCAAGCACACTTGCATACTAGTTACTTGGACGTGCCAGCTGCAACTGGCAACAACTGACAATCAAGTTGCTTGCACGACTTTTGATTTTGTATCAGCTAGAGGCATACGAGGTATGGGACTATGGTAAGAAGATCGACACTGACTTCTCCTGTCTCGTATGATCTAGTAAACTGGTATGCAAGCTACTATTCTATTACTGGAAAGCGTATTCCCGCCTTTAGTTAAATAATATTTAATTGATATATCCTGGTCATCTATTACATTGTTTAGTAACTAAATTGCCTATAATACTGAGTTATAAAGCTATTAAGAACTCGTAACGAAATTCTGTTTGTCTAAGTATATTGCATGTAAAAACATACAATTCGGTACGATGTCAGGGTTTCGAGGTATGTTTAGATGGTAGATAAAATACCATTACTTAAATTGCTAAGTAAACTCGTTATTTTTTTATCAAGATCAAAAAGTAAGATAACGACTTCCGGGGTGTTATATCTTGCCATGTATTTAAGAACAATTTACAGAAAAAAAAATTGTTACATTAAACTTTCTATAGAAAGCTTTTCTTACGAATATTTGGCTTTTTTTAATGTATCTGTTCTCTGTACTGAGGTAAACTGTATCTCATGTTCATTGCATGTAAAAAAATATTATCATCATATTTAGTACTTGGTTATGAATCCTTATACGTTGAAATTGAATATCATGTCAAGGTCGTATCTACCACATGTCACACAATTACACCAGTCATAGTATATTCAAGGTCTCCTATGACGAAAAGAAGCTGCATATGGTCTTACTAATTGGCCTTGTTTGGTACAAACTACTAACCATAGACAAACATATCACTCTTAAATTCATATAATATATTCTACAATATAGAGTAACCAGTATCTTTCAGCCGCGATTCAAAAAACAAAAAAAAAACAGAAGAAAGTAGCCTACGTGTTCTTCCAGACTATCCTTTACATCTATGCTAAATTTTATCTAGCCTTTTGGGCTACAAACTCTAGCAACAATCCATCCATCCTTCTAAATTTTGCCATTTATTTAGTAAGATAATAAATAAGATTATTAATACACTATTTAACAAATAATTGAAAAAGTTAAACATTGCAATAGCTGGCACGTATGAAATTCGACTTTTATCTGTTATTTAGTGTAACTACTTGTAGTCTTATGAACTATAGACATGACACGAAAATAATGTTAAAACACAATTTCTTAATAAATATTTCAATAGACAATACTAACTTTCGAAAACACAACTCGAACACTTACGTAGCGACAAAGTTCCAGCACATGGCAATAGCAAGGTAACTTGAGGCACAAAGTGCTTTAACTTGGTTACAGCTGCTTCGTAGAAACTTGAGCGCAAAAGTTATACAACAATATCTCACTAACTTATGTTCAATTAGCAGATGAAACAGTATTTATTTACGTTATAACATTGTTAATATTGATAATGCAAAATGTGAAGAATAATAGCCAACAAAAAAAAAATGTTCAAAATACATTTAAAAGCAATCGGGAAAATGTGTCAGATTTTAAATACCTAAACTTTTTTTTTCCAATAATATATTTGAGTCACGTTTTTTATCAAGGCCAGGTTATCACGTATCAAATTCTTTTACAGTCAGTAAATGAATATATTTAAGTAGCAGCCTAACAAAATATCTTCCTCGCCATAAAGTCCGTCGCTATTAAAGAACCCAAATTTTATAGTACGTAATAAAACGCCAAGGCAGCTTTTGACTTTCTAGAAAATAACCATAAAATAGGACTTAAAATAATCTAATTTAGATCGATGTAAAGATACATTTAATTCTTGTCACTTCACAAATCTAAATTAAGTAAAAGTAATAAGTTTATTTTTTAATTAAGATAAATACAGAAAGCAACTGTTTGTTACTTCTATATATTTGTAAGTCTACATTCTTATTTATTGGTATGTTTCTTACATCATTGAAATATTTCCACACACGTCAAGGGGAAATGGTAAAATGTAAAGAAAGGTAATGACGTATTCAATCTTGAAAGCGAAGCAAAACAGTCAGCATGCTGTAGGAAGTTTTCATCAACTGCAAACAAAATTACAAATAACCACCAACGTTACGAAAACATGACACAACAATAATTTCTCAAAAACCCATTTTTCAGAATAATACATTTTGGAAATGAATTTTAAAGTTTCGACATTAAATCTCTCTCCCTCTCTCTCTCTATCTCTCTCTCGCTCTCTCTCTCATTAAGTCTCATACATTTGTAAGCAATTTACAACAATTGAAGTTAAAATATTCATTTGTTTGGCAAATATTTCTTAATGTCAATTTGCTACCTGAATTTATTTGGTATATGATATATATTAGTTATTTTTTATCAAAAGTTCTTACCGTAGTGAACGTGACAAGTGACAGGTCAAAGAATCCACCAGCTGACAGCGCGAGCGACTTCTGAGCACGTGCAATAACGAGCATAATCCTTGGACGAACTCCTCGCATGAGCGCGACACCGGACTCCCAATTAGAGCAGTATACTGCATTACTGATGTTTTCACTCTACAAACGTAAAAGAGACAGATTTTAAAAAGATAGTGGAACTTTCATTAAAGAACTTGATAAATATGTATTTACTAGCTTACTCCGACCGTGTAGAATTAAAAAAAAACAAAGGTGAATAGCCTATATATCCTTCAAGACTATACTCTACATCTATACAAGATTTAATCCAAATCCGTTCAGCCGTTTAGGCTACACGCTCTAACAAACATCCACCCATCTAAACTTTCTCAATTCTATTAGTTAGACTAGTAAGATTAGCACTGATTAAAAATATTTCCCAGTTAACCCTTGAATTATAATTTATTTTATCTCTGAGAAGAGTACATTGCAGTTAACCTTCTATAAGTGGAATCTTCATTGAAAAGGTTTGCTGAATAACATTCAATGTACAAGATCAATCGAAATCATAACAAATTGATATTAAACCACCAAGTTGGATCAATCAGAATCAACATTACATCATTAACGAGTGTACTTTGAATATCAATCGTGGAAATTGGGATGAATTTGTATTTTCGTATTAATTAAAAAAGGTCAAAGGCGAGGGTTACGTTCAAAATAACATCTGACCTGAAACTTAATTTCATCGCACCATCGACAGAATATAAACAATTCGAACACGTTGTAACTTAAATACAGCAGGCTTGCCAAAAATTTTGTTATGCTCATTTTCACCGTCTGTAATTGAGAATGTATTTCATTAATTTACAAAAGCTTTTATGATCTCGCTAATGGATAACCTTGTAAATATACGTCGTATTGTAATACGAACGAAACTATTCACGGACACATCTTGCATATTAAGATTGATTCGTCATTAATAATGTTGCAACAATTTGGAAAATTCTACACTCTTTGAGAAAATCAAGTTACATCAAGGAAACTAAACCCGTGATAGATGAAGTCTCAAAGGCTAGTAGGTAGTGGTCCAATAATTGTCTACAGATTATACTTTAATGGAACTCCATCACCCCTAGCGCGATTACCTAGAACTACTTTTGTATCATTGAGTTTAAATCATTTTTTTATTGAAAGAAGACAAATATGAATATAGAATACTAGCTGTTGCTCGCACTCGCATGCAATTAAAAAGTAAAACATACTGTTGTAGCCTTTGTTACTCCCAGATAAATTATCTTTCTAATGGTGAAAGAGTTTTTGAAATCGACTCAGTAGTTTTTGCGTGGACCAAATACAAAAATTCAAATCTTTCCTCTTTATAATAAAAGTATAGAAGTATAGATAACTACTTATTTGTAGAGTTACAATATAAAATTAGTCATAAATCCATTCATACCAATGCAACTTGATATCCAGCAAGACAAATGAGCATACCACTGGAGGCGAGCTGACACAGCATCGGCAAACTCAATGTGTTCCTCAGCTTCATTGAATTCCTTTAACGTTAAATTTTCAGACAACAAAAAACACATTATTATTCCTTATAGCTTCTTCCCCTTACTGACGTGAAAAGAGCTAAATAGCCTATGAGATCCGTTGGAAGGAATTATCTTCTAACATCCATCTAAACTTTCATATTTATAATATTAGTAAGAGTTGGTAAGAAATTAGATGTAATGTAAAATGTAAACTTACTTTAAAATAAATTTATGCTGATCTATAAGATTGTCAAACCTTTTTAAATACTTCATCTTGAATTTGTTATTAAGATTTAACTTTTTATGACCAAGGCCTGGAACAAAACAAGTGTTTACTTCTGAATTTAGATTCTTATATCTTGATCGTTTGTTTATTTCTTTAGTGTAATAACATCAAAATTTCTTGTTCATTTACCTTTGTAAGAACAATCCGTCACAATGTTCTCAAAACAGTTCGCTAGCACAGCGTATTGGCAGATAAGATGTATCAAATGTGCTTGCATTATTATATCATTCGTCATAACGAAGAATCCTATTTCATTGAAAGCCAGAACCGTTGCGAGGTAAGTAGGAGGATATAGGGTGGGATTCCGAAAGTCATAGGGCAGCCGCATTGTTACAACCAGATTGTATTCCACGCCGTCTACTAATGGGTAGACATACCTGTAAATATATATTGTATTTACATGTAAACTATTATTCACCCATTGTTGAAAATAAAGTATAATTCAAAATAAAAAAAAAACAAATTAGGTTTAGATTTATGAATTTCTTCTCCATGTTAATTTAATCTCTGTCAAATTTCGCGTTCACCCTTTACCTTCCTAAAAAAGAATTGTTTACTTTACGTATTAGTCTAAGGGCCTGTCCCACCACTAGTTGAAAGAGGCTCAGATAGCTTAAAAGTGACCGTACAAAAATCCGATACATACAGTACCAAAATCCGATATTTCCATCGCATATTTTATACGTTGGATTGTTACGAAGAAATGTGGGACAGGCCCTAAGCTTACTGTATATTTCTTTAAGATGGATGGAATTTTAGAACTGTACGGTTCAACACAATTCTATGTTCACATAATGTCTTATGAAATTATCTATTTCCTACAAGTCTTCTGGTATTAACGGACAGTAACCTCATGACAAGCTTTGCTCGGTCAACTATGATTTTAAACATTTTTGTTAACAAAATTAAATTGTTTATTACCATATAGATAACGTGCACATTCCTAATGTAAGCAGTAATTTCAAATACTTCTCGTTTTCAGATGCCCAAAAATCGACAAGTCTTTTCCTTTCCTTAGTCGATACATCGAAGTTCGCAACTTCTGTGGAAGCTGCCAGTTTCTTGTAGAACAACTTATTAGAAGCCTTGAAATTTATAAATTGCGATTAACAAACTGATAATTATGTTATTTGTATAGATTTAATATTGTAAGCATATTTACCATATTCCTATATCTATAGACAGCAATGATATGAATAATAGTCACATTTATATTGGCAATAATTCCATCTAGACTGTCCGTTTCGCTCACCAGGTTCCAAATTTCGGCGCAAATAAATAAACCAATAATTGTTTTAATAATTCTACTATAAATAGCATAGAAAATACCACATTCGAATGTGGAAAGACCTGTAAGAGACCATAATTAGCTTTTTGTTTTTCAACCTTCATTTGTTTATCAACAAATATTTGTTTATTGAATTTCGGTCATCTGATCAATTAAGACATTCCATATTGAGTATACGGTAACAACAAATAAGGAATGGTTAACACTGATTAGAATTTAGGGAGACCTTGATTTTATGTACTTTATGCTTACAAAACACTGTGGATACTGTTCAGATAAAGTACTAAAAATAACCTTAAAAATCCCAATGATGTATTGAATATTTCATAACAACGAAACAGTCAAGAAAACTGTTTAGTTTTAATACCAGCTGTAATATAAATGATACTTTAGCGACAAAATAAAAGAAAAAACTAATAAAATAAATGTAATGGAACAATAAACAGAAATAAATTATCTAAAAGTACTTTTATTAATAATTTAATTTTACCAGTGATATAAACAAGTCTATATGTAGTTTCGAAAAATGCTTTTTCCAATTTCCCGCACGACTTCAAAGCTTGGGTCGGTGTTAGTTTTATCCATGCAAATTTTAACACGTCCATTGCTTACGTTCATCAATAAAACTACCTACGTTATGTCCACAGTTTAAACATACACAAATGTATATTTAAAAGCCTTTAGTGCAAATATTTCATGTTTACATTCGTATTGACATAACGGAATACGGTTGGATATTTTCTGATAAATACAATACGTAATTTCTGTCACTAATACAACAGCCGGGTCTAAAATTGAAATGTTTTTAAACTCTCTGTGATATCAAGTAATATATGTGCAACATTTTAATTAACTATACACTTAAAACATAAAATATTTAAGGTTCTTTTACTATTATTATGGGTATTACCATTATTATCTATACTTATATAAAAAAAAAGCGTAAACACACACTTATTTGTTGCCTAAGATGTCAGCAATTACAGCATAATTTTAAATAGATCTCTTTTTTATAAAAAGCCCTAAACTTACGTCACGCTTTAGGCTATATATTTTCACGTCATTAAACTTATGGGGTAAATATTTTGGATAAAAACCCTAATGTGGGAAAGAGACCATAAGTTGCTGCCAACATCAAGGAAGCAAGGTTGTCATAGTTTGTCATCATGTCATATCATTTTGACATTTGTAATTAACAATTTGACACGTGTAAACAACAAAATGAAATATTTATAATTTTATGCGGATGAAGTCGCACGGGAACAGCTAGTGTTTCAATAAATAAACATCTTTCATATAATATTTATTTAACAATATGATATATCACAAGAATTTGAGATCTTTTATACTTCTCGATTATAACAATTTTAAATTAATTAATGTCACGTGAATATTTAAATATCTCTGTGAACTCTTACTCTAATACTTATTGCTAAAGAGAGCCTGATGTTTTTGGTTACTGGTAGTATCTTCAAACCGATTTGTCTTTGTGCTTACCCCTTTTGTAATTTTAAACAAATATTGTATTAATAACAATAACTTTATGCCAGTAATCAAGGTACAGAGAATTGCTTATTTATTTTGTGGGGGCAAACGAGCTGTAGATCATAGTTGATCCGACAATCATGATCTTCGTAATACTAGAGGAACCGCAGATGAGTTGCTTTAAACAAGTGAATGCATGTTTCTTAATTTTTTTTTACGATAAACAAGACTTTACTGACAGCAGTTATCAACAAATTTATCTAATTATTCCAACACTCAATCATGTCTATACTAATATACAATGTTAATATCATTTGATTCAACTCTTACAACAGATCAATATTACAGATCGAGGTACGTAATCTTAGTCGCAGTGAAGGCAGCGGCACCGGCCAGTATGGCGGCGACAGTAACCACCGCTGCGGTAGACCCCATCGCCTTCACCGCAAACCCCATGATGAAGCTCACCAACAGCTGCGCCACGAACACGCAGCTGCTCACCACTGCCACATCAGTCCCGATGCCGCGCTCCTCACCGCTACCACCGCCCGCACTGTCCCACTGAAAGTGCGTAGTACAGAGTTGGTGTCGACGTTTAAAAAGTTTAACAAACTACAAATGTTAAAATTAAAGAACTAGCTGTTCCCGTGCGGCTTCATCCGCAATTAAATAAAAACTTTGTTTTATTGTTTACATTTGTCAAATTCTCGATTAAATATGTCACAATTACCGATATACCATAGTAACCTTGCTTCCTTAATGTTGGCAGCTTGTAGTTTATGTCCCCTTTCCCACAAGAAGGATTTTTTCCAATTTATTTACCCCCTATGTTTAATAGCGTGAAAATATATAGCCTAAAGTATGTCGTAAATATAGCGTTTTTTAACAAAGAGTAACAAAGTGCATAATTAATATAATAATGCATTACAATGATGTACAAATAAAACGCACCGCACGTGTACTTAACTTTGTAAAGAACAGTTTATCGAATGTTAATTACAAGGCATCGATAATGTATAATTCTGTTTGGCGCGTCGTCGTGTCGTGTCGTCTAAATTATGCAGTCGTCGTCGCCCGATCGCGAGGTAACCACAGTCTTTGCATATTTTATGTTAACACAAAGTGCAGTCGGGGTGGGACATCCTTCATCAATTATTTTCAAATAACATCAGTATTTTTACGAAAAGCTAATTTCATTTTCATAACAGTAACTGCGCAAACCGATATTGTACAAGAATTAGGGCCTGTCCCACCACTGGCTGATAGAGGCTCAGAAAGCTTAAAAATGACGATTTTATCAGATAAGGTAACATAATCCGATATTTTCTTCACATAATTTACAAGTTCTATTGTTATCAGACAATTTATAATTTGGTGGGACAAACCTTTAGAGTATTGTTTTTTCGTCCATGTCTCATTTCGTACATACAAAATTATACAACTACAGATGTGGAAGTAGTTAAGTACACATTACTCAATTCAAATATGTTACCATTTCTTTGGAGACCTCACTGACATATCGCTTTTAGACAAAGTAATTAATTTATGTTAAAAATTGTTGTTGCTATCTTAGTTTTTTTATAATTTCCACACAAAAATTGAAAAGTCAACGACATCCGAAGTAATAAAAAATATTTTAAGTACTTAAAGTAATCTACGTAGCGATAAATCGACTTTTCCATCAATGTTCGACTTTTTGTTTCTGACGGCTCTTATCTTAAGATATCAATCAGTTTATTACAAATGTTTTTGCGATGAAAACCCCATAAATAACACAACAGCACCAAGGCTCATTAAGTAGTCACCATGGCAGTCTCTTATTGTAGATTTATATACTAAACAAAAATTATAACATTAAGGGCCTTTCCCACCACTGGCTGATAGATGCTCAGATAACTTAAAAATGACGTCACTGTCAGATACGTTTGATTGTTGTCAAGCAATTTACAATTTTTCGGACAGACCCTAAACGTCTTAAATGCGATAGTTAATTATGCGTGATGGTACCAGGATATCATAAAAGCAAGGTGTAATTACCATTCCCGTTGCATGGTAATGCGCTACCAAGAGATACGGCATGGTGAAGAGTGTGGAGTACATGACGCCTGCCGTCCAGCTAAAGAGGATTACAGCGGCGCGAGCTCGCAGCAGACTCAGTAGCATCATGCCGCAGCTGTACGTGCACAGACCGCCGACATAAACCTTCTTCGCCCTGGAAGAGATGCAAGACTTTGAAGTACCAGGCAAACATAAAAGACGTAGAGATAAACGGAGATAGAGTATGTCCAATCTTTGGTTAAGAATTGAGTGATGCGTATGATGTCGTTTATTGTACGATCTATTTATAAGCAATTTACTATAATTAGATATTATCTTTCTAAGGCGTCATACTTAAGAATTGATTTTCTGTAATCTCAAGGAAGCCAGACAACTTAGCTCGTGTCTGGTCGTCTTCGTCAAAGTCAAGGGCCGTCTGATCCCATTACAAGAAGTTATTTCTAAGCATTTCAAGTTGAAGGGTAGTGTACCTTCCTTGTTTTTAATACTATAAGCTGTTATAATATGAGCCTTGTACTTGATTTATAATAATTTCTTCCTGATTCCGATACCGATATATCTCTACTTGTAAAAATGTAAACAAATAATTTTATATTTATTTATATAGCAAGTCCATAAAAAGACTGTCCGAAGGTTTGATTTGTGATCTACTTTAGAAATAGATTTTATTAGTTCATGCGGGTGGATTGTCATTGGTGTTAACTTACCCAAGTCTTTTTATGAGTTTTTCAATGATAGTTGAATAACAAGCGCATGAGAGCGAATACATCGCCATGCCCCAGCAACCGAATCGAACTCCGGCCTCGTACTCTACTCTGCTCGGACTGCCCACAGGCGCCTGGAAAAGATTAATAGCAAATATAAATTAATGTAATTTAAATCCGTGAATCTATTAGGCGCTAGACTACTTTATTTCATGAATTAAGTTTTACTATTAAAATGAAATGGTCTAACTTACAGCAGGATTTCCACCGAACACAGCCTCGCCTACAAAGTCCGTGAAGTAGAGTGAATAACAAACGTGTGCCATCCAGCAAAACAGATTCGTTAAACAGACCACGCGCAGTGAATTTGGCATCACCACTATAGACTTCAGGTAATGTCGCAATGACAGAGGTTCACCATCGTGTGGGAGCTCCGGAACATTTAGTGTTATATTGGTAATTTCTTCCTGGAATCAATCAAACAAGTCATTTTAAAAAGCAATAAATCCAACTGAGCTGTATTTCATTCATTAAAACGGGTCAATATGACTAGCAGTATATTATTACAGTGTCAACTAAGCCTTACTTCTGGTTGATTCAAAGCACCGTATGAAGTATTTTCCACCTTCAAGCCATTTTTCTCAACATCCTCGTCACCTGCGTCAAAACTCTCCCGCAAGCGTTCACACTGTGCTGGCTTTCTGAGCTCTTCGTTACCGTGCAACTCATTCAGTGGGATCTCTTTGAAGCTGGTCACAGTGGCAGACACGCACGCGATGAAGATAATAGTAATGAGAGAAAACACCGCCCTCACATGCCCACCGAAGATGGCTCCTGGAAAATGTTTCAAAATAATCTTAAACTAGATTTAAAGTAAATCTAGCAAGTTTTATAAATCTCAAGTGATACAAAAAGTTTGCTGTCCAAACTATAACACGTAATAACGATTGCTAAATGAGTCATCTATCATGTGAAAATTACGACAGTGTATTGCATAAGAAACTCTGATTTTTATGCGAATTAAGGCGATGTACAAAAATCGAAGAGAACGTCGAAAATTATGCTTCAAATAATAAAATATTAATTTTAATTACCTAATGTAGTTTCATCCCAATTTATTCCACCTAAAGCATATCCCATAAAACCTCCTAATCCAGCCATTATCGTAAAGGTGCTTAGTCCTCTCGCATGGTCCTCTGAAAGTGAAAAGTTTCATTTAAGTTACAACGTTGAGAAAAAAATGTACCATATAAAAGTACCTAATTATAAAGTTTAATAATTTACACTTGTGGTAAATTTGTTAGTTCCTAATGTCAGATGATAACTATGTATGTTTAAATTTAAATCAACAGAAAAATGGGAAATCATTGTCATTAGAGGAAGATCATAAACTGATAGATATACAGTGAAGAATAAATTGTTTGAAGATGCTTTATCAAATTAACTATAACTTGTAGAAATTTCCTTTAACGATTATAATTCACGAATAAAACAAACACTGTTCTTAATCAGAAAATACATATTTTATTATGATAACATATTTGGGCTCCTAAAAAATTATTTACTTATACTAGTGATATAAATCACCACGACAGTCAGTGTGACAGTTTTGCATTGTAATATTAGCAAATATATTATAATCATTTTGTGTAAACATAATAATTGTTTGGCGAGACACATCGGACTGTTGTCAGCTGTAATCATGAGACATGACAAAAAAAGTTAAAAAAGCACTGTCTAAATCTGAGTTTAAATTCTCATTTGAACACTAGATAACAAAGAAAATCTTAGCGCTTAGAATAGCTAAGGGTAGAATCAGGAAAAAATAAAATTTATCTTTAATTGGGGAATTAAGAAATAACATATTCATGACGATTGATGTGGGCACTAAAGTAATCTGAAGTATTCAAATACATGCGATAAATTACAGACAGACAAACTGAATACAACATTTAAAAAGTTAATAACAATAAAGAACAAACGCTCGTTTACCCCGCCTCATACTTATATCAGCACACAAATTAGCCATGAGCTACATAGCTTGAATAAATTACGACAATCAGTCGGTTGAAGTGGGAAAAACACGAAAAACGAAATCTCGCCTAGATAAATCAATCATGGCTGGAGATAATGATAAAGCGGTTCATTTTTACGAATACCAAAATCAACAGAATCACTCAGTCACATGCCGTGACGTACAAAAAGCAAATGTTTAATTGTATTAGGATCCATCAATCTAGGTTAAGGATACGCTACCAGTGGTATGCAAATATTTCCGGCGAAATACCTCTTGATAACAATACTTTTTGTTGAAATCTTTTTATGTTTTACAAATGTAAATAGTGCTACTGAATGATAATGTAATAAAAGTTTCTAGAATAAGGAAAATGGCATTAAGAAAACGCTGCGCAGATTCACAAGAAATTGAACATACTAATTTGTGAAAATAAATGAGTTAAGGAATTGAATACACAAAATCAATTAAGATATCTGATTGAAGAATTGATAGTATTATTGAAGATCAGCTTCACAGATGGAGATAACTTTGTAGATAAGTATGATCTAGGCTTACTTTATCTTCTTTTCTAATAACTGCTTTCAAAATTTGACATACAATAAATCCTAAGGAATCAAAGCTATATTTTCAGCTGAAAATAGATCTACATGCCTCAGTATTATCACGTAAATAATTTTAAATATAAATTTTGTGTAACAGTCAAGTCTATTTCAGGTAAGATAAGCAGTGGCTCATCCACTTCACTGCGGTCTGAGTGCGTGTTGATCCAGTTTATTGTGTTTGCACACTAATCCAAGCGAACGTACGCTTTAATTAGATTGAAACAGTCATTCTATTTGATAATTGTATGATTATCGAAAATGCAATTCAGATAAATGCATTGCGATAACAGCAACAACAAAAATAGAAATTACAATAAACACTTTCTTGTTAATTCCTGCTTCTACTTTCTATCAATCTTATAATTGACTGATAACAAAAAACTTTTTTAATTCCCTGGATTATTGCAAATGTTTACGCTCGTTATTTACTCCCACGTAAGCTATCAAAGGAATTTATTTGGATTTGTATACTGTATTTACTTTACACTTCGAAGTTTAACAAATATAGTAAAATTTACTTAAAGCCTTATAATATATTTTTTTACACACTACTAACCTGGAACAGTTACGTCGAGAAGATAGGCCCTCGCAGGGCTCTGACATGCATCAGCATCGAAGTCCAAAAACACAGTACCCAGGACTGTGAAGAACACACCCCAAGGGTGGTGACTGGTGCCAGGATTATCCAGGACTGAGCTCCGAGGCCCCAACACCGCGGGGACTTCAGTCCTATTGATAGTGCCCTGGTCTCCCAGAGCGTAACCTATTGATTCCCCATTAGGCACTAGTAACAGACCTGGAAAATACAATTGTATCGAATTCATACAGATTTTTTTAGTCTTTTACGTGGATTTTCTATACCATTGCAATGATAGTTAATGTGTTATTAGCAAGTGATTACATTCTTGATAGACTGATATACATGACGCTATAAATGAACGCCACGGAAGCGAAGCCTTAGAAGTTAGATTATAAAACATACATATAGATATAGGACAAACAATTATTATAGAGCAGAGAAGTACTTGCATTGAACAAAGGCGATTAAACCGTATAGAATATAAAGGTAAAATAATTAAGTTACACGAGACATACTCTAACTAATCCGATGGTATCTCACCTAATAACACTCCAAATGACATTAGAACAATGAAGGGTCTTCTCCTCCCGAACCTGGAGTTGCATCTGTCGCTTAACGAGCCGAGGAGTGGTGTCATGAAGAAGCCGATCATGGGAGAGAGTGCCCACACCAACGTCATCTGTTGGTGCGGCACGCCTATCTGCAGCAACGTAGGCGACACGAAGGCTGTCTCCCCGGCGTATGAGAACTCAATGCCCATCACCGCAGCTGATATTCTCATAAGTTCTATCCGGCTTTTTCGTCTATAGAAAAACATGTTTGTCTTACTATTTATGAATTGCGATTCCTAAGCTATTGCTTTGGCTTTGGCTATAAAAATTAATCGATATTGATTTAAAAAAAATAACCAAAAAATGTAAGGGTTTCACTCATATTTTTTTAACATCTTTGGTACTTGGATTAATGCCAGTTATCATTTGAAAAATTAAACTGTCTTCCTAAAAAATCCATAACAATGAAAATATGCAATTGAATTCTTATCTAGAGATTTTAATTATAAGGTACCTGTATAAATCGCTATAGTCTCCACCCTCGCCATCTTGGGTCACTCGTTCTGGCGCATCTTCAGACGAGGGTATACCGAAGAACGTCTCCCGGAACACCTCCCTGATGCCTCGAGGATGTTCCTCCTTCCACTGTACAAATCTTTCACGACAATTATCTTTAGCACAATGCAGTCTTCCTGTTATACCTTGGTATTCATTTAACTTTTCAGCCATGGTTAACGTAAGTTAAAACACTCAATTCATCACAACTTGACTAGATATAAAATTTACCGTTTTAGTTAGATATAGAGTAATAAGGTTTTTAACTGTATCGAGACATTATAAGATGTGAAAACTTTGTCAACATTTAACGATGGAAGTTGTTTGTTGAGTGCGATATCGGTCAGCCTCGGCCGCGGGCTCGGGAGACGGAAGTGGACTGGAGCGCGCGCGCCGCCCCCGCCCGACGCCCTCGCCCTCCGCCCTCGCAGCGCCGCCCGCCCTAACATTAATAATACTAGAAGTGACACTATAACAAGGAGTATTGATTTTAAATTTATTTTATTAATGTACTTTTGTTATAAAATAATGTAGAGTTAATAAACTGTCACATTTAAAGAATTTAAAGGAAAATATCTACACTAAGCGGACTAATAAATAAAAATATAAAAATGATAGCGAATCATCCTTACCATTAAATGCCGTATCTTCATTTACGTCTCTGGAAAAAAACATTAAAGTTTGTATTTCACGTTTGATATTATCGTATGCATTTTCATTACCGCATATTCATAACAACTTTACTGAAAAAACAACAGTTTGTTTTCTCAGCAAATCTGTAAAGCGTTATCTTCTCTATACAGAGATCGTCTACGTCACAGATTGCCGTTGATTGATGTTATAATCCACTGTCACCTGTAAACACACATTTAAAAAAAAATACATAGCAACTGAGGTTGCTCCTAAAAATAACTACCAAACTGATATGAATGGAAAAGTTAGATAATAAAAGCAGACTTATTATGATCGTTATTACGAACCAAAAAATTTAAATCTATTGCAATATTTCTGAATTGATTAAATTCTGATAAGACAAAGCTGCTTATAAAACATTTGTCAGTCAGTCTGAGATTACGTTTATTGCGTCCCGGGGGATAGCCGACCGATTCCTTTCTACAATATGGCCCTAAATAAACAAACAAATTGTCTGCCCGACTTATTGCTTTCTTTTCTTAGTTCGCGACAATCTTATGTGAGCCTACGTAGATTGAATTTACTGCATGGAGTTTGCGATGATCTTTATCTCTGACTTTTAAGAGACAGGACCTGACAAGCGCGCATTTCCTTCTGTAAAATACAAACGAATAAGTTCTAAACTTGTTTGCTTAAACTTATGCCCTATAGGTGTAAGCTTCTGGTTCATTATACTTTCGTAAAACGTGCCACTTATACTTAAGTTAACATGATATCCACATGTCTGATTAACATATTTCTTACTCCTGCAAAAAATGCAAAAAATATAATTTCGATTTTACTACTACGCGCGCCGCACCGACTCTTTGCCTGGTCCGTTTTTCTATAGTCAAGGAATTTTATAGCGTTTTTATTGTATCGCATCCGTTTCTATTTACTGCTATTTACATTTGATTTGAATTTGTGAAAATGTTCGTAGAATTGTTTACTGTTGCATAACACTAAACAATTACTGAACCCCAAAATGTGTAGTGAATAATTTTCCTTGGCGACCAATTTAATATTGTGCTCTGCATCAACTTTTGCTATACTATAGGCTAAAATTTGTTAATTTATTCCTGTACTTCAAAATTATTTAACAAGACCTCGAGACCAAGTTTAAAGTCATTTGTCAACCTTCTTCTCATCATTATCAATATAAAATATGTACAGAAATGTTTACCGGTAGCTATGAATGATTGCTCTACGTTATTTACATAGAAATTATCTATTTAAATGAGATTAACATTGTATTGTTAATTAAATACATGCAAAAGAAACAAGGCTGGCTCCCGCACGATCCTTTGCCACCCCTCGTATTTCTACAAAAGAACTACGTAGTACATGTTTTGTACCGAGACTCATTTAAATACCTTTGTGTTGAGACCAGTGATAATGAAATATTGAATACGACATAGGAAACGTTACACCAGACAGATTTATTACTGGCCATTCAATTTCAAATTGTAGCGTGAACTTTTTCATTACAAAAATAATGTAACTTCATTTGTTTTAATATTATGGTTGTCTATAACTAAATCTTTATGGGCTAGATTGATAGCGTTAACTATAAATAGAAATTTTAGAGACAATTTTTTTTAAAACTGGCAGAACCAAAGAGTAGCCTTTATTAAACATTTCCTCTTTGCTGCTTTGTCTTATATCGCTTCTCTGTTTCTGTTGCTCATAAACTGACCAAGTCCATAGATATTTGTCCATGAATTTCTGTAGCTTAAACGGCTAACCAATCGAGCCATCGAAAGCCATCGAGTCTATATTCAATACTTATTTATTCTTTAATTGATGATTTTGTTTTTTAAATTGTCTTCATTTCTGTTTGTGACATACGAATGTCACGTCATCATCACATGGCACACTAACCTAACAACAATCGATACGAATGCAGTTAGTATCTAACGACGTACATCCTACTTTATTTGTGTAAGTAAGACTTGTTTGTACTGGAATAAGTTACTTATAGCACCAAGAACAGTATCGTTACACAAATACTAATGATTTATTAACGGTTATTTAAAATGAAATTAATGGATTGCGGCCTAGAGATTCGTAAATAAGATAATTACTTATGTTCTAATGCATCTTGTTACGTGAAAGACGTGTTTTATTCAATGGAAACGTTCAAGGTCACGTTCATTACCGTGTCCGCACACGAATGATTCCCCTGGTCGTGCAGACGGCCTCGCGGATCAATCACCCGGTGACAGGTGACAGGTTATTAAAAAAACAAACTGATAGCGCTCCACAAAAGAACGGCCTGCGAGGATTTTATTTGAGAGATGTGAAATAGAGTTGTTAGTTATTTTTTAATTTTTCTTTTGATAAATAAAGTCCAAGGAGTATTTTATTGGAAAGTTATTTTTGTTTACTAAAGTCTTTAAATGATTTAGTAGGAAAATCTAAGAAAATACATTTCAGTTACAATGGGATTGTAATTTTGGTTACTGATTTATTTAAATAATTAGAAGAAACGGCTGGCGTATAGTATTTCGTAGAGTTAAATACAAAAGAATTGATAACCTCAAATAATTTAAGCCGGTTGAAATACACATATAAATATAACGAACGAAACCAAAATCAGATCACTAGTGCTACAGATATCGCCCACATTTAGAACAATGAGATTGAAATATTTGCGAATAGATTTACATTTGATAAAACTTCCTGCTTTGCATATAAATCATCCGTCATGAAACTATCGTGTCGTGATATGAGATATTTGTATCACAAATCTCATACTTATCACATTTTTTGACAGATTTATCTTTAGCAATACATTTGGGAATATTTATTACATCATAGTATTTAAATCTTACTTAATATTTTTAATGCAAAAGTTTTGATGGATTGTATGTTTGTTAGAGTTTCTAGCCTTAACGGCTAAAAGGATCTCGATGGAATTTGGCATAGTTGTTGAGGATAGTCTGATAGAACACATAAGCTATTTGCTTTTTTTAACACCGCGCGGATGGAATCGTGGGCGAAATCTAGTAAATAATACTTTAGAATACGATAGCTTTCTAAACGTTATACTGACTTGAAGTGGTAGCATTATTGAAATATTATGAAATTAAATCAGTTACTAAACTTCTTGGATAAATAATTGTTACTAGAATCTAAAAATCATGCCTCTGAATGGTACTTTATACTCCCGAATTAACGGTCTAAATGTAAATTTTATGAATTAAAATAGTTTGCAAATCAAGAGAACCAAGAAAAAAAATTAATAATTTTTAGAAGGTAATTAACTTGTTACCGACAGCCAGGGACCCAAAAACACAAAAACTTTTAACCAAAACAACTTTATTTAACTAATTTTACATTACAATATAATAACTGAAAACAATATCGATCACATCTCGCCTACGATACGCTTTTTTCTTCTCTTGTTTTTACAACATCTTTTATTTAACAAAACCACGCAAGTCTCGTTGGCCAGTATGCAACCCCTTTGGCTGTATTCATACTTTTTGTCAGCCAAAGAGGTTGTATTTTGCCATGAACAGAAAATTTATATGTAATTCTGTTGTTCAGAACATTTTTAACATTCTTATTTATTATAGTAAGGTTACACGTGAATGTTGTCTACAAAACGTTTCTAACTCAAGTAATATTGTAATTTTTAAGGAACACATTATTTTATAACGTATTTGTAAGTATGTGAACAATGAGTTAATAGGATTGATATGTTTAGGGCTTCATCAGACGTGGCTAAAGGCGGCTTTGTGCCTTTATACTTCGATACGTTTAAACACTGAAATATTCTGATAACTCCTGTTTCTTTACATAATACTAATATTATAAATGCGAGTTTCGATGTATGGATGGATGTTTGTTAAAGTTTATAGTCAAACTGCTGAACGGATTACAGTTGATTTCAAATAATAATAGAATTTGACAATAAAATTTGGCACAGATGTAGAGCATGATCTGGAAGAACGCATAGGCTACACTCTTTTTTGTTTTAATTCCACGCGGACGGAGTCGCGGGCGAAAGATGGTCTTACTAATATTATAAATGTGAAAGTTTAGATGGATAGATGTTTGTTTGAATTTGTAGCCTAAACTGCTGAACGGATTTCGATGAAATTTGGCACAGATGTAGAGGATAGTTTCAAAGAACACATAGGCTACTCACATTTGTTTTTTTTTTAATTATACGGGTTTCGTAAACGAAAGCTAGTTATGTAATAATTATAATTAAAGATTTGATTGCTAGAACTTTCTTAACTGTCTTAGTATTTAAATACTTCTAACTAGCTGTCACCCGCGACTCCGTCCGCGTAGAATAAAAAACAAAACAAAGTAAGTAGCCTATATGTTCTTCCAGACTATTCTCTACATCTATACCAAATTTCATCGAAATCCGTTCAACCGTTTTGGCTACAAACTCTAACAAACATCCATCCATCTGAACTTTCGCATTTATAATATTAGTATGATAGTATGATTACTCATTTCTTTGATTGTTTAAATGATCTATGACAGTCTTTTCGTTAAGATTATCTTACTATATCTAAGACTAAGACTCTTAGTTACTATTAAA